GGTATTCTCATCAAATGCACTGATGCACACAGGACAAATGAGAAACAAATTCATCTTTTCGATTTACAGCATGAACAAATACCTCTTTCTTTTCAAGAATGGGAACAAATGACATAATTAAAACACTATTCATATGCTAAATACTGATCATGAAATGTTCAACTGCTGTGGATTCTGGTACTACTGTTTTTTTCTTTTTGCTACAAAAATTCAGCACAAATGTACTTGCGACGCTTAAAAAAAAGTTTCTCTGTATTTTCTTGCAAAGCACCATTCCATTAAAGCCAAGCATGTCTTCTCATTCTGTCAGGTCCACTGCATATAGCAAAGAGAATTTCAGTGTAATAATATAAAAATAATAATTTGGTACCAGGTACCGTAGAATACTTAGTGAATTCTTTGGGTGGAAACAAAGAAAACATCAACAAGGGGAAAAAAACACAGCAAAACAACCCTGAGGATAAAGGAAGTGGGCACAGAAAGCCTACAAATGGTCTTTATACTGTTACAGTTCTCACTTTCCAGCCCACTGCTTCTGATCCGTATCTTCTGGCAGCATACCGTCCTCAGTCTGATCCATTTGCCTTCACTACACTGAAAAAAGTAAAGCAATTTTAATTAGAAATTAAAAGATGCAAAAGTGGGGAAAACACTTCCAGGGAAATGCAAACACCCCAAATTAAGTCACTCCTTACTTCCCAGCGAACTGTGAAGTAACAATGGAACTTCTGCATCACACACAACGGTGCTCTGCCTGCCGGTCTAAAACCTCACATAGGGCAGCGTTTCTCACAGTTTTTGCAAGGTGATTCCCAGGCCAAGAAATTTCCATACCAAATCCGCCCAAAACACTATATATATATTTTTTCCTTTGCTGGCTCCGTTCTTTTTCCCTTGCTTTCCCTTTTCCTACCACACACAAGACCCCCTCTCTCCTGGCAGCAGAGGCCCCCTCAGACGACCGCCTGCGGGCCGCCACGGCCCGGTCACGCACCGCACGTCAAACCGCCTCCATCCCGGCACTCGGAAAGGCGGGAGCGCGGCGCCGAGTGAAACAGCCGCCTGCCCCCGGCTGCGCTCACCGCTGAGAGCACCCTCGTCAGGCTGCGTTACTTGTTTGTTAGAATCGATGGAGAGTCCACGGGGGCATAACCCCATGGATCTCCCAAAGTACCAGCGGACGCAGCCCCTCTTTTATCCCTGTACCCCAGTGCCAATGAGTCCTTCCCCCTCTACCTGCTGCCTGAGGTTCTCAGGGTTCACATTCTTCTCAGTTTACGTATCAGCCGTCCCACCCAGAAGGTGTCCTCTCACCCCTTCATTTCCTTTTTCTGTACACTGTAATCTGGGCTCAGTTTGTTGTTTTGCTCAACTAGAACCATCTCTGTATCTCATGAAATCAATCACTCTCTGTTCTGTCCAGCAAACCAGATTTATGCACAGATGCTAAGCCAGCATCTCCAACCGTATACTTGCAAACTAAGTTTGCTCAACCAGATCCACATGACCCCCCTTCTGGGGAGTTAGGAGCACAGTGGTGAGTTGTAGATTTCCATTCTACAGCAGGTAGACCATAGGGAAGTTTCTTCAGCTGGTGGAGCTTGGGGTGGCGGCTGAGCAGAAGCAAAGCCATCACCTCCACAGTTCCACAGACCTTCCTCGTGCAAAGCACAGCGCAGACAGCTTCTCACCAGATTGCTATTTTCTAGAAAAGGTTTTTCAATTTAATGATAAACCAAGAGTATTGTTTTCAGAAGTGCTACATGCAAAGCCTCTTCATTGAGTCATAGAGGTCTACTCATAGCATAAGGTTGTTCTAGCCTTATGTTTTATGACAGCCAAGGCAGCACAAATTTCATTCAGACAAAGGAAGGCACATGTGCACTTAATGTGAACAGTTTTCCTTGAAGTGATCAAAACCTGGAGTTCACGACAGGTGTTTTGAGACTTTATATACCGCTTCACAGTTCTGGACCATGCCCATAATAAGGATGGCAAAGATCTTATTGAATGTGCAACAGCCTCTGGATTTAAGGATTGCACAAACACTCTGGATTAATTGCAGAAAACAGAGGTTGTTCATGAACAGAACAGGGTAGAAGGCACCGTACCTCATAGCAGGCATTTCAGGCTCCCTATAGGATATGGGCAGATATCTCCGGCTGTCACTTTACCTCTGCTTATTGCTGTATTGCGGCTTTCCAATATTTCAGCAAGGGAACATGGGTTCCTCCCTCGTACTGACAGGCAAAATGCAACTTGTTAACACAAACTCAGCCTCACTAGTTGATGTTCAGTCACTCGTTCACAAATTTGCTGTAGCAGTAGCAGCCTCAAACAGAGGATACAAACGTACCAGTAATTTCTAAAAGCACTTCAGCAAACTCTGCTACAGCTGGCCAATTTGGTTGAATTTCCATTCATAGCTTGAATAGCAAAGGAAGAAATTCATTTCAAGGAAAAGAAGCACAATTTACATTCTCAATAAAGTTGCCAAACAGCAGTTTCGCACTGTCACTATTCACACCCAAGCACTGGATTTTCTATTAATTTATTTAGTGAGGAGGCATTATTCATTAGATATTCATTAGAAAACAAATTCTGACAACATATTTCAACCAGCTCTAATTTGAAAAAGGGAGGATCACACTGCACAAATTTATTGTGAAAATGAAGGATGACAAGGAGGGACTATTTCTCACTCCCTACTGCCTGTGCTCTTCCTAAGATCCTACAACAGTAAGTTTCTTAGCACCTGGCCTTTTCTCTTTATTTTAATACTTGCCTGCATTTAAGCTTTTAATATGAAAAAACTGCAGTGAAAAATAATGAGTATAATTAACAGCAAAATTTAAACAGTTTTGCTTCTCCATACAACAATTTAGTATTGATTTAGAATATTGTGATTAGGAATTAAAGGTCTACATGGATGACTCACTATGAACAAATTAAAGATTAAAACACACGGTCAAAACAAGGATATATCTGGCTGGAAATCTCTGTGTAATGAATTCAGCTATTTAGGTTATTTCAATTTTTTTTTGGAGGCTCTCCCATTTCATTAGCCAGGGGAACTTATTCTTGTTGTCTAGATTTAGTTTCAGTAAGAAGGAACTTTTCATTAAAATCATGTGTAATAAAATCACTGTGCAATAGCTAAAATCCAGATAAATAAGGTGTAGAGGATGAGAGTACCGTTGTGAATGGAGACTTAACTATTACATGAGATTCTTCATCCTGTTGGATCACACAATCCCAGCATTTGGAGGTTAAAGCTGACAATCAGAATATATCCGCAGAAATTTGTAGTTAGATATAATGTTAATCAAGTACACTAGCACACTACTAGCAAGGAGACAAATGGAAAGAAAACCAATAGAAAAAGCTTGTTGGCAAAATAAATGCTCTGCTCTTTGTTATTTTTTGCATCAGGAGGTCTTAAAGTGATCTGGCATTCTGCTTACCTGCACCCATCTGTATCCTTCAGAAACAGACAAGAAAAACAGAACAGAGCAGAAATAAGGGTGAACAACACAGTCATTTCCATCAGTATCAGCAAAAAGTACTCTATGAAATACAAGAGGAAACAGAACCAGGGAACCAGGCAGAGGCAATTCTCATTTTGAATGAACAGTAATTGCAGTAAACTTACTGCCCCCCTATGGCAGTAACTATCTGTTCCCACGAAACAGAGCTGTAAGTTTATTAAAAGAAGCAGCGGTTAGGACACTGTGGCTAGCATTCTTAGATTTGATCTAGGAACACAGATTCCACAGTTTGAGAAGCACTGCTACCAGTGAAGGTACACCCAGGTTAAATAAACAACCCACTGAAAGGGACAGTAAGAGATGATGGCAAAGAGCTTGCTTCAATTCAGCAAATAAACTTTCCCTTAGTGAATCTTTAAGGAAAATGCCATCTCCTGCTGAAAACAACTACAATTAATGCCACTCAGACCTAAGTGCATGTGGAGCTCTGCTAAGTCCTTGCATTTTAGCTCGCCTTCACAAAGCAGCATTCCTCACATATCTTAAAAGAACAAGAAAGGAAAAGAGAAGGCCAAAGTTCTCACTGTATGGCTTTACATCTTTATCTGTAAACTGTGTGTTTACAGATAAAAAGCCAGTCATGCTGAAAAGTAATTTTTCAAGTAATCTTTTCAGAACTCTTCTGGAACAAATACGTAAATACACACTTTGCCACATGAGACAACTACAGATTCCTACAAAGAGACTGCAGAATTGTAGTAACATAAAAGAATTACCTGCTTAATGAAAAAAAGAAAAAAAAAATTCTACGTATATATATGCTAACTAACTAACTAACTAACTATATATATATATATATAGTGTTAGCAACAAGTGGAATAGTTCAGGCATTTTTCTGCTAGTAAAGAAGCCTGTTTAAATAAATGGGAAGAATACAAATTACAGTGATAAACAAACATAATCAGCCTGGCAGATAGGATTCCAACACACACAGAACAATAATTATTTGACATTAGATTTTACAGTCCTACTACCTGTGTCTTACTTTTTTAGTTCAAATTCATTTTGTGCTGTCATTCGTTGCCAAAATGATTTGTACACTGAACTGTTTAAGGTTTTCCTGAACAAGCTGTCCTCCTTCTCGAGACATCCAAAGAGAGCTACAAAAAGGAGTGACTTGGTGTGCAAAAATTTTTGTTTGTTTGTTTTAGGGTTTTGCTTTTTTTTTTTTTCCCCCCCCAAGTTCTGTTTCTGCAACAGAAAGACAGCTGCTGCATTTCCATGCCCCTGACTGTAAAAAAAGACTTGGTTCTTTCTTCCAGCATTGTGAATATACAGTTGTATCAACAAATTCTGAGAAGGCAATGGAGACTGTTCATATTTCTTAGAATTATTAATTCAGGCAATTAATATTGTATCTATTTCATAATCCAGGCATACAAGTCTAATTCTCTGCCAAGTCTTCTACCCCATATTCATTATTGTAAACAGAATCATATCAAGATAGAAATCTTTCACATTTACCAACAGGCAAATATTTATTATTGTAACTCAGAACTCTACATACAGTATTGCACAAAATTGTATCAACTGACAAAACCATGTGCCTACATAACAGTAAATAGCACATAAGCAGAAGCTTATTTTAACAGACTGTGCGTTATGTGTCAGTAAATTAACACGTTTTAAAAGATTATTTCATGAGAGTATGAAAAAGCAAATTTCCATTCGAGGCATATACACGAAACACATGAAGAAGATTAATGTGTGTGCACAGGTCCAAAAACATCCCCAAAACCAAATGCACACCAAAACAAGTGAAACAAGTAAAGTCAAAGCACTCTTAGCAAACGCCAGTGTTACTACATTCATAGTCATATCTGCTAGCAAGGAGCACAGAAACGTAATCTGAAGAAACACCCTTAGCTTGGAGTTTTAGACATACTATCACATTAACCAGATTTTTGTTTGGCAAGATGAAAGGATTTACGGCACTATAAATTCACCTAACCAGTGTTACACCAGTTATTTCATAAAGTAATTCAGGAGAAAAGTAACTGTGTATAATAGTTGACTATTAAAAAGAGTTTTTATATCAGAAGATGACACAGTATACAACTAAAATTCAAGCATCTAATATTAAACCATAGCTCTGGAAATTCTGGCCTCCAATTACTACGCCGTACATACCAAGAATGATTTAAGTTTTTCATTTTAATTCTTGCCTCTACATATTTTCTCAAGCCAGATTAACTGGCTGCAATTCTACATCTGTAGCATGCCACAACTGACAAGTTGTTCACAGGCAAGCGTACACGATGCTAAGAGCCCAGTCCCCAGAATCCTCCACTTTCTATTCCCAGTCTTTTGACTAAGTGTTGAGGTTAGTTTCCCCGATTAACAAGTTACTGTCTTGTCTACCAAAGGGAATAACTTAGCTGCACAGTGCCCTCTTCAATCAGGGAAATTAGAGATAAGAGGATGGACCTGTACTTTTCTCCTATCAGCTTTGGGAAGGACTGGAGAAAAGCTTACACTTCTGCCTGATTTCCAGTGGAAGATCATCAGCTTGAAAAACACTGCTTCAAAAAGGGAATTATCTGACTAGGAATAATCTGATATATATATATATATTTTTAATTACTGACAATTATTTTTAAAACAATTACTCAATAAAAGCTTTTTTTTTTTTAAATGATAAACAGTTTCCTGTAACTAAATTAACCCTTGGCTAGCTGTTACATACAAGTTACTGTAAGCTTTTAAAGTGAAAAATTCTAGTGCTGCATAGTTACTAAGCAGAGTTTAGAGTTCTAACAGAACCAGCAGCACACCTGGTTAAAAAAAAAAAGTTAGAAGATTCCTCTTGCAGAAAAAGCAGCTTATGGCTTTGGTAGACAGATAGCATGGTGAGAATACAAACATACTCTGTGAACACAGAATCAAAATTTTGAGTTTTAACACCTCTGCAATTTAAGCCACAAAAGATAAACAACAGAAATGTGAGGAACAAGGGCTGTATCCTGCTTCAGCATTCCAGTACCTGAATATATTTTATGTTTTTGAAAATCACTAAGTACAACATAGGCTGTGACTTCAACTAGGCAAGGAATGGGATTAAAATTTGGTTAGCACATTTTTAATTATTTCTACAAGCAGTACTACAACAGCCTACCACTACACTAATATACAAACTTCTTTTTGGACTTCCCTGGATTTAGAGGAAAGTAAGTTCCAGAAAACCTACACACAAAAACATGAAAGTATCAGAAATCTAAGAAAGGAAAGTAAGCATTTACATAATCAGTGAACTTATAAGCTGAAGACTGTATGCCCGTGTATATAAAACACCTATAAGTGGTGATTTTTTTTTTTCCTCCCCTAAATCAAGCCAGAATACTGGCAACATACTTTTGCAAATTGCATCAGTTTTGGATGGGGAATGAGCTGAGTGAACAAAGAAAACTGCAAAGGAAACGAACAGCAGTGTTTTATTTCCTTGGCATGTAAAAGCACAGTGACATTACGATAGCACTTACTGTTCTTACCTTATAGATTCCAACTCATCACAAGTTACAGCATAAATACATCAGTGCTGCAATTTAACATACAATTTACATACTCAACACGACTCAATTTCATTTTTCTTAGTGGTGTCCAGACTTCACACACCCTAGATCTGAAGAAAACTGATCTACTTCTGAAAGCCAAAAAGCAAGTGTCCTGTGATGTTTAAAGTCAAAGAAGTAGTCCTGAGATTTCAGATGTTAAAGCTTTCTCCACAGCCACATGTTCCTTTAATGTTTGGATTATTGAAGACAAACTCACTGGACAATTTATCTTCTACATAGTCCATTTCAGTTCCTAGAAGTGTCAGCTGTGCTTTCTTCTCAATAAACACTCTAACCCCTTGAAGACAACAAAGAAAAACAAATTTACATAGAGCAAAATCATTCATCGTTTACTTTGAGTTGTATTTCAAATGAAAGGGAAATTGTTAACTTTCAGTTTTCTAGAAGCAAAATTTGAAGACCATCAACACAGCTTCTTTTTCCTTAACCTGTGACACTCTTCCATTGCACTTTCTATCCTACTATAAAATCTGAGTAACAGCCTTAGTAGTAGTTCATCTTATGAACCAGAAAGAGATCCCTTTTCTAAGGCATGCAAAGCTGTGAGTAGGTTGCTTTAGCTGTTTATAGAGTAGAAGATAACAGAAATAACATCAGTGAACAACAGCAAGAACTGGTTAAGTTATATAAGCAACTGCCAGAAAGCTGCTCTATTACAGTGAAAACTTAGATAAAACACACTGGTGTAACAACACAAGTCCGCAGGCAACAAAGTTGAAGTTACTCCAAACAGATTTTCAGGGAAAATTTTGATAGCAATTAACACAGAAGGCTAAACCTAATGCAAAATTTTACAGACGTGATCCCTGAAGTGGCCACTTGCTACCTAAAAGCCAGAAAATTTGGGCTGAAATCCAAAACTACCAGCCTGGTGAGTACAGAGCTATATTAAAGTCAAAGCCTTTAGTGGAAATCAGTCTAGAAGCCGCCAAACAAAACAGAAAGCAGAGACATCTGAAATCCTGTCCGTTTTTGGACCTTGAAGTCTCTCTCTTGACTGAGGGAAACATGAACTGCTTTTATCTTCCTTAAGATCCAAACCAGAAAATGTTTTTTCAGCTCTATAAAGCCAGAGCAGCTCTGAGTCAAGCAGAGGTAACTCCAGAAGCAAGTTAAGTTTGAAATCAAGAGGCAACTGCAGAATTACGTGGCAGTCTCGATCTCAGATGCTCCAGTTCAGTTTAGTCATTTGTTCCAACTACTTCTTTTTGTAAGAGAATGAAACGTATTAGTTGGTTGTAGATATCTGTAACACAGCTATAACATGGTCTCTGCGTAGCAGAATACTATTTATAAGGAAATAATTGCAATATCCCATTCTTATGCACATCTCCTACTTTTCTGCCAGATTCATTTTTCTGGACGTAAATACAAGAGAATTCAGTAATTCTCAGACAAAACAAAAGAAAAACCAGAGGAATATTTTAGAAACCTCTCGAAAACAAACATTATATGGATTCTGTAAAAATCCCTATTTTACAGGACCACAAAGAAAGTCTTCTGAGTGCTGGACAAAACTATGGAACTTTCAATATTTTAGCAATACACCTGTTATAGCATTCTCAACAAAATTATCAGATAGCATGCTTAAACATCAGCATACAAAAACAATTTTCTAAGTAATGCTTAGTTAAAATTGTAGAAATGGTTGTTACAAAACAATTTGAAGATCAAAAGCATGAACAGATTAGAAACAAATTACAGATCAGTGAAGAAGACAAGTTAGAGAAGACTTTTCAAAAACAAAATCCTTATTTTGCCAACTCTGGTTTTAGGCATGCTGATAAAGTATCCCTTTCCTTATGCATTTTTCTATTTTTTTTTTCTCCAAATACATAGGATTAACCACCTCCAAAAGCATGAACAATTGGCTACACTGGTTATTCTGCGCAGCAGCCTCTGAACTACATATTGCAGAGCTGCAGGTTTTAACTGATAACTTCAATATGGAAACCAATGCAGCACCAATTCCAGTATCAGGAAGCTAGGACCTCTTGTTATAGTTTAGTACTCAAAACAATCTCTAACCCGCCTGTCTAACCACATAAGATTGCTCTACTGCAGCAGAAACTCACCATCTTGAACTACTTCTTCATCAGAGTCTCCTTTAGACTTTGTATATTCTAGCGTATAAGAAAGTCCATTGCATCCCCTTGTACGAACACCTACTTTCACACCTACCTGAAAAAAAATAAAAAACAAAACACAAACATACATGACTTTTTTAAACCTGTTCTTCAACACCTTGCAATAAAAGTAGGTGGAATAACAAAATGACGACATCTATTCTTCCCTACCCAAAGCCTAGAACTAGAACAGAAGTGAACTAGCTCAGTGCATTTCTGTTCCTTTTACAAAATTGATTATAAAGGTAATGGTAAGCATCAGATATTTGCTACTTTGCACCTAGCTCTAATAGTTCTTAAAAACAACTTTTGAAGTGATAATAAACTACTGCTACTTCTGTGAGTGCCCAGTCTCATAAAGACAGTAGAATTTCAGAATGTTGCGACTTCAATTTAAACTTCATTCAGATGCTAATTCAGGAACTATTTTAAGACTATTATAATTATGAAGCTGTGAGGGCAGGCCAAGGGCAGTTGCTAGATTTTTACACTCTTTCTCTAATGACCATCAGAAAACTACTTTAATTCAAAGTTCTGAAATAATTTACTTTGATTTCTTCATTACTCCTGCTGCCTTTTGTCCATAAAACTCAAACTCTACCTTACATCAAATATATCCATTTGCTTACTACATTAATCCATGTCAAACCCAACCCAGTTAGTGTATTTGTAATCACTCACTGCTTCTCATAATGACCTTCTATGTTTGAGAGAAAAAGAGCAGCCATACAAGTGAGGAGCTAAGAAAAAGTGGTATAGAATCAGAAAGCCATTCATGTACAATAAACTTCCAAAAGTACCTATTCCATTTTCAGCAAACCACTCTTTCTTAGTTAAACAGAAGTACACTGTATACCTGTGTATTACCTGTGCTACAACAAAAATCTACCAGAACATTACCAAATGCCACCACGTGGGACCTCAGACAAACTGTGTGATCTGCTTTGACTAAGCACCTCTCGACAGGAAACACTAGATACAATGCAGCATGCTGGAAAACAGGAACACTATTTATAACACAAGGATGACCGATCAGCCGAGCTGCGGGCTTAGGGCTTCCTTACCATCATTTGTGTTTTGAAGAGAAAGCCTGGTTATTTACAGATGTACAGGAAGAAAAGGAAACAATGGGCACTGTACTGAAGTTAAGAGAGAATATTTTTCTTGAAATAGTACTTGCTGTAAAGCAAAATTAAAGACAGTGTTTGTTTTCATAGTGGTTAGAAAGCAAGTCTGAGCTTTCCTCTGAGAAGACTTCATTAAAATATAACTTAAAAATAAAGCTCAACTTTGTTTCACATTTTATCATCTCAAAAGTAACTGTACAGTGACACATCATTACAGCAAGCTACCTCCTGCATTTAATTCTATAGAGAAACAATGCTTAAAAAACATTTCTCTCCAAAAAAGCCCCCAACATCTCTAAACTGCTGGGTGTTTATTTCAGACTTCTAGGTTAATGAGAAGTGCTTTGTGACCGTCAACTGCACAACACGACAGCCCTAGTATGCTTACATGCTCAGGCTGGTCTTTAAGAAGTTGTTTTATCTTCTGGACGGCTGATGGGGTCTGAAAAACAAAAACACATCATTTCTAATCGTTACTTCTTGTTCATTTGCAGAGAGTGCTTGCACAAGCATTTCACAGAACTGTGTTACACACAGCCCTATTCTGACACTGTGCAACACAGTTATGCCTTACACTTCATCCCGGCACCCCATTTGCACGGTCACCTTCGGCACCTGTCACATCGCCAGCCCACCTGCTGCCGACCCACTGCCTGACCTCAGCAGCGCCTCGTGACTGCAGGGCCGAGCAGAGTGCCTGCCGCCTCCCCGCAGCCAGCAGCTCCGATACGTAAGCCCCTGGGGCTAGCTTTCCGTTTTCAGACAGTCTCTGTGCACGCAGCGCGCTCCTCGCTTTCTGCACACAACGTCTTTACGTTTGTCTGTAGGCACGCAGGCACTTCGCAGCCCGTGACGCCGCTCCGCAGCCGGCTGCCCGCGGTCCCCCGGGGCTCCGCGCCCCCCCGCCCGCACCCGCACCCTCGTTCTCCTTTCCACCCCACAGGCCCAGCGGCGCTCGACCTCGCCCCGCCCGCCGCCTCCGAGCCCGCTGTCACCCCGATGCCGCCCGCCGCGGGAGCAGGCCCCGCCGCCCGGCCCGACTCCGAGAACGCCGCCGCGGGGCGTAAACGGGGGCCGAAGGCGCTCGGCCCGGGGCACTGACCAGGGTGAGGGCGGCGCGGGTGGCCTGGATCTTCCTCTTGCTAACCGCGCGCACCGTGGCCCGCACCACCGACGATGCCATCACGCCCCTCCGCCCCGTCCTCTGCCCTCTGCCATGGGCACCACCGACGTCACGCCGCGACACCGCCCCGCCCGACGCGCTTCCGCCATCCGCCCTCATTGGGCAGCCGAGAATGACGGGCAGGCGGTCCGGCCCGCCCCTGCGGCCGTGCTGCGCCGAGGCCGCGTGCGCGCGCCCCTGGGGTGTGTGTCGGAGGAGGCTCAGCGGCTTGTGCGCGGAGATAAGGGGCGTGCGGGGCCCGGCCCTGCCCCCGGGCCGCACCGTCCGTGTCCGCAGGAACGACGGCCAGGGGATGCAGATACAGTCCGATGGAAACAGGGAATGGCGTCTCTGCAGAACCGTAGAGTCACTGTGAAAAAGACCTCTGGGATCACCGACTCCAGCCGTCGACCCACCATCGCCGCGGCTTTCAGTGCATCTGTGCCCTTCTTGAAGTCCACCGGGGCGGCCTGCGCCAGTACCTGATCACTCTTTCTGAGAAAAAAAATGCTTCCAAATATCCAGCGTGAGGTACACAGCCCTCTGCAAATGTGGAATATGTCAGCCGGGCTCTTTATAACTCCCTGAGAGGAGTCTGTAGTAAAGCATAGGTCGCCCTTTTTTCCCAGGTAATAGCAGCAGGATGAGAGGGAATGACCTCAAGTTGCACCAGGGGTGGTTCAAGTTGGATGATTCTTCTCTGAAAGAGTGGTGAGATGTTGCAATGAGCTGCTTAGGAGGATGGTAGACACTGTCCCTGGGGGTATTTAAGAATCGTGTGGATGTGGTACTGACGGTATTGTGCTTTTATCCAGCAGATGACTGAGCACCAGGCATTCATCTGCCCACTGCCCCCTTCCCAAAAGGATAGAGAGAACTGGAAAAAAAGAAAGTAGTTTGAGATCGAACTGTTCACTAAGATAGAGAAAAGGATAACGCTTATGACTATATATACATATATTTATGTATACATGAGCATGTACAAGATGTGCTGCACAGGCCTCCACCACCCTCTGACCTACGCTCAGCTAGACCCCTGAACAGCAAAAGCACTGATTAATCTTCATAGCCTTCAAAACTCCTTCCACGAGGTTATACACTACAAAACAATCCTCTGTCCAGTTTGAGTCAGCTGTCCTGATTCTGCACCTTCCCAGATCCTTGGGATCTTTGCTGGGAATGGCCTTGGCTCTGTGCAACACTGCTTAGCAGCAACTATAAGTATCAGTATGCTATCATCGTTTTTCTCCTAGAACCAGGTGCTCTGAAGAGCTCCATCCCGACTCGAACTAAGACACAGGGACATGGTTATTGGGCATACTGCTGATGGGTTGATGTTGGAATTGGTGATCTCAGAGATGGAAGGCCTTAGACACTCTATGAACCTGAGGCCTTCGTCAGCAACGCTTGTTATGTACAAGCTGGAAGCAAGCGTGCAAATGCAACCAGTTTTTCTGTCTGTACTGTTTGCTTTACCGCCTTGTATAAAGGTGCATGACCGAAATCCTTCATGCAGAAAAATGCACCCGCTGACATTCAGCAGTGCTTGCTGAATGTCTATGGAGACCAGGCAGTGGAAGTGAGCACGGTGAGGCATGCAGTGTATTTCAGCAGTGACAACAGCAGGCCACCTTTGCTGGTGCACATCTTTATGAGCGCGGCAACAAAACCCTACTTGCCAATGAAAATGCACAGCTAATGACAGTGACTTTTGACAAGAGTGTTTTGTAGCTGAGAATTTCTCTATCAAACAGTGCTAATGTACTCTTTGCTGTAGTTTCCACAGAAGTAAGAGGTATTTTCAGAGTGAGTTGGAGGTTGGAAGTGTAATCTGTAGGATTTAGAACTGACTTTAGAAATCTCACACTTGAAAGCTTCACTATAAAACTAAAAAATATCTCAATGCGAAGGTGCTGAGTAGCATAAATGTGATTTATTTAGTTTTAAAAATATCTTCTATCTATAACATTATGCTGTAGTCTCTTAGAGGTGTATACATTTTGTTCTCATCAACAGAACAGAAGGCTAAATAAAATATATATGAGGCATACAAATGTCCTGCATGTGAATTTTGTGGGTATGAATGTGGAAGTATAGAAGAAAATCTCAGGGAAAGAAAATGCTTAAAATTATATGAATAACATGCTATAGAGAACAAAATTGGAATGGTTTTCCATTTGTGAAGCTGGCTAAGATTGGAAATAGGTAAAGAAAAACAACATCTTTTGGGAGAAAGATAAAACACCTAGAAATATAAAGATAGCTGGCTTCATGTTGATGAAGAAAAAAAAAATAGGAGTTAGCTTCCTAAGGTCACCTTGGAAATTCTAACCTTCACATTTAGCGAAAAACAGGTGAAGGAAAAAAAAAAAAAGCACAGCATTTTATAAAACAGATCATTCCAATAAATTAATGATTCATTCCACATTTAAGTCAGGAATACTGAAAGCTACAACTTAAGAAGAAATACAGAAACATAATTCTGGATTTTGATTTTATTTATTTATTTCAAAGTCATAAATAACAGTGGTTTCAATTTTACCATGTAATTATTTCCTGAACAAGACAGAGTACACTACCAGCTCTGGAAGGACTTCAAGTAAAGCTCAAGTTGATAAACCTACTTAAATTCTTGGCTGGTCCAAGGATCCCATTCACATTTTATGAAAATGCACATGTGTTTTCCCCAGATGCCATATATCATTTCTCTATTCCATAAAGCAGTTATGTCTGTATCCCCAAGATAATGAAAAAGATTCTTAGCAGCATCAAACAGGACTGACCTGTTTCTTAGTTGTCTCTTTTTCTTTTTTTTTTTTTTTTTCTTTTTTTTTTCCTCTCTTCTCCTTCCTTGTACACAAGCACAGCAGCAAATTAAATTTCATAAAATCAAAGAAGGGGCAAAAAACTAAAAATCTCACTGGTACTGCTTTACTGCAGAGACAGCTTTAACATATGTTTACTAATGACTGTGTTTTCAGTCCTCTACACGGGGAAAATAAAAACACCACAAAAACCTGTTTGTAAGCACAGTCTACAAGCATTTCAAACACTTTTACACAAATATTCATTAACAATCAACATATATAAATAATATTTGCTCCTTCAAAAAAATCATATTTTGAAGAAAATACATTTATTTGGCCTGCAACAATTTTAGTGCATTTTAAAATGCTCAGGCTGAATGACAAAACCTTGGTCCATTTTCAGTACCTGCATTTATCTATATGATTTACCTAGTAAACAAATACAAAACATCATGGCTTTCTATTAAAATGCTCAGACAATCTATTTAGGAGTAAGGGATCTATGGTATGACACTATATTAAAATCCTTTACTAGCCATCTAAAGTAAGGTTAAAGAAACATGGGTGTTTTAAGTTGAAGATTATTTATGCTGCTGTCCTGTGAATCCAGATGCTTTAGCCAAAGTAAGTTTTTAAGTATAAGAATGAAGTAAATTGCAACTGTATTGCAATTTAACAGTGCTTCATATCCCTCATGATTCTTGCTGGGTCCTCTTCTGTGAGGCTTTTCCCTGAGTCATATATCTATTGGAAAGGCTGCCTGAGATCAGGGGGGGAAAAAAAGCATCACACTTTAAAAGCTTAAAGGTTTCAAATCAAAACAAAACACAAAGAAATCCCAACCCAATAACCACCACTACCACCACCATAGACAGAAACAAACAAACAAAAGTAAAACAAGAAGAAATTACTGTTAAGTTGAACTGCAACGAAAGCACACAAGATCAACTTTATAATATCAGCTGCTAGAGGACAGTAGGAAATACTATAATACAGAAAAGATTACTTTTTTTCCAAATAAATGCCTGAGGACAAACTGCTTTTTTTTTTTTTTTAATTTCCCAAACTCAGCTTCAAAGAATGACTTTTTTCCACACCCCACATAAAACTGAAAACCTACAGAGATATTCAATAGCAGTTTGCAAAGACTTCTCAAATCTCCCTTCAGATGCCCCAGAAGAGATCTATGTATTCCATGGAAAAACCCAAGCTGCTGAATGGTTTGCACTTGCACACAAAACTCAAAGTAATTAAAAAGAAAAAAACAGTTACTTGAAAAATCTTCATTGTGACAGTTAACAAGTTAAATGTGTGAAATTTCTGTAAGGAAGCTGCAGTGGCAACCATGCATCTAACACAGTGCACAAAATGTCTCTGATCCAGAGAGCGTATACAAAGGCCTTTATGTCATCGTCTGTCTGCTACTTGTAAGTGTAATTTTAACTTTCTCGCATTTTGACAGATCAAAAGATGTGCTTTCATAGTCTCTCTTAAGTTAGCTGATCATGTGGAATTCTAGATGATTATTCTGAGGAAGCCTCACAAGAAAGTGCTCCACATGTTGCTCCTGAAGAGAAACACAGAACCCCATGTATGCCAAAACAGAGGGAGAGAAGAGAGATTGATAAAACACCAGATCCTTCTGCAAAATAAATCTATCAGAGTTAAATAAAGAACAAATGGCTGACAGAATTGACATGCCTTATAAGTTTTGTTCCCAAAACACGAACAAAAAAATGGGCTTTTCCAGCTTAAAAAAAAAAAAAAACAAAGAAAAGGTGGTTTCAGAATTATCTGGCAACCTGTTCAGACTGCTGCTGCGTTCAGCAAGCTAGGCAGAGTTTCCATACAGACTGAGAAAGTAAGGTGAAAACGCATGCTTTCACACTGAATTTCTGAACTGAAAGAAAGAGATACAAACCTGTCTGGGGACTCAAAAGTACTTTTCCTTTTTGTTTCTTTTTTTCTTCATGTGTAACCATTCCCTATAAACAACACATATATACTGATGAACCTACAAAACTGAATTACATATTACACATGTTCTCCTTGAAAGCTTAAGTAAGAATAGCTTTAAGTTCCTTTACAAGGGTTTCAGAATATTTACAGAGATCCAGGAAGAAGAGCACTTAACATTTACCTGATTTAATCGACCAGCATGTTTGGCAGTTGGAGGTAAAGGGGATCCACACAACATTTCTGGTTTTGAACCTCCTGAAAAAGTTGTAATATAGCAAAGACTTACTATTTTGAAACTACTTTTCATTTCAGGTACAAAACTACAAAGGTACTTGCATTCTATCTTCATAGCACAGAGAACTTAAGACATTTCTGTTTTCCGCCTTTATATCATATAGAAAAATGGGCACTATGAAATGAGATGCATCCATAGTTAAGCATTTAAGCTAGAAACCCCGATTCCCAAACCTACACAAGGAGACTGGAACCTTCAGAAAATGAATGATGATATTGGGTTAAGTGAATTGACCAAAGCCCCACAAAGTGCTTGTGTATAGCACAGTAAGTCACAAAACCTCTTGGGCCCAGAGAACTATAGAGAACACTTCAGGCACCAGACAAGCAAAAAAGTCCACCCTAGATCAATTCTCCTTCTCTACAAATATATTAATTCCCAAAATACCCATAATTCCCCTCAGCAACCACGAAACAGTCAAGTATATTCCTTTTCAACTCAGCAAACTCAGTATGATGGCAAACATAATCTTAGCAAAAAATGCTCAAAGATAAATTCAAAAGTTAAGTTTAGACTTGACATGCATCTTCAAACTCTCAAAAGCCTAATAAAATGTGGCTTCACTTTATGAACATCTTTTTCATCCACCCAATTCTATTAGTAATCAATTAAGAACACTTACAAATATCCTTAAAATTCTGAGCACATTTGCAACCATTTTCTTACTGCTTCCAGTATTCTGGTAGAGCAACTTTATGCCTTTTTCTATCAAAAACATCTGGCTAAAAGAGTTTCCTTATCTGAGCCAGAAAGAACATTTTTCTAGTAGAGGTTATTTGAAACTGTGTATGCAAAGGATTCCTGTACTTTATTTTGAGATGTCAAGTAATGAGCAAACTGTACAGCTTTTTTCTGTAGTGTGTATATAAATGCTTCTAGACTTAGGGGGAAACTGTAACACTGTGTTCGTTTGTAAGCTAGCTGAAAGTACCATGCACCATGCCAAGAAGTTGCATTTTTATTAGAGTGATTTTCCTACAATAAAGATGACTAGAGACCTGTTTAATGTGAAGGATGACTTAGATACTGCTTAGCAGTTCACTGTTTTCAAGTCTGTCAGTCAAGTTCTATCTTCAGGCAATTACTGTAGTTTCACGTGTTTTTTTTTTAATTTTATTTAACTCAAAGTTGCAAAATAACTCTAAGAAAAATAAGGCAGATTATTTTATCAACCATATTACTGAGTTAGGAAGGACATTCTTTATTTCTTCCCATTCAAAATATTTTATCTGAGCAATTTATTTTCAGTGATCTTGAGGTCCTTATGAAAGAGGTCTATTTTACACGATGGGAAGGAGCTATAAGCCTTTACTGCTATTACCAGGTGCTGAAATAGAAGCTGTATATTGAAACGTTAGCCAACTTTAGCAGTGAAGACAACAGAAGCAATTTCAACACAGTAGGCACTCTCCACTTTCTACTGTTACCTCCTGGCCTGCTAAGAGAAACCATCTCAGTTCTCAGGACACAACAGTTTTGAAAGATAGGTGAAAGTAAAGGGGAAACTGATCATGTCTGACTCTATTTTTAAAAAGTTGGCATGTATGTGAATGCCATTCAAAGGAAAAATATTTAGCTGTTAATGAACTTTGTAACCATAACTTCTGCTTAAACTACTCAGCTTGATCAGTTTCATACCTGCAGCTACCTTATACTGCGGGCATTCCTTTTTAATGTGACCTTCTCTTCCACAGATAAAACAACGTTTTTCTTTTAACTCTCTGTCTTCTTGTCGCTTCCACTTCTCTGTTGATTGCCTGGGAGACCGTTCTTTTCCAGTTTCCACTATTCCCCTTGCTACTTTGCTCTTCTGAGGTGTAAATAGATGCAATTTCCCCTCCTTGACAGAGCTTTCTTTTTCTGTTGTTCTGTTCTGTATTTCTTTGTCCTCTTTGCTTTTCTCTTTGTTTTCTGTGTACCTCTGGTTTTTACTATCTTCATAATCACGTCGTCGCCTCAGTCTGCAAGAGGAAAAGGCTGCAGATTTCATATGTCTTATATACATTAAAGATAAAAACACAAACACTGCATATAGCCTATAAATGGACTCCATGTGTTTCTTCAGTGGGTTAAATAAAGTTAAATGCCTTTGGCTCTTTTAAGAAACAGTTCTACACTGTTATGATATATATATTATTAACTTCACAATTTGATTACAATGCAGCTGAAATTCTATTTTTTTTTCCCCTCTAAAATACGAATGCATCAACGTGAAGATCTTGTTGCTGGAGCTGCAATGACAGTGGAAGAAAAAGGACACCAAATTAAATACTAGCAGATAAAAATAGAGCTCTCATTCTACTTCTTGTACCATTCCAGGAGAAATCTACCTTTCTTCCAAAATGGCATATATTCACTCTCTCTACAAATCACGTATAAAGGAAGATGCTTCTAGCATTCAAAGTGACTTAAAGATGTATCAGTGAGGACCTGGGTGCCATTACTGATCTGGTTTCATTTTACTTGTTTATTTATGAACTGGAGAAGGAACAATCAGTGTCTGATGATAACAGACTCCTTTGCTCAGTCAGATGCAGCACTAATGACAAGAAAACTTCTTCAAACTCACAAAACTGAATAAACTGATAGCAGACAAACTTCACCACAGATAAATTGTAAATAATGCATCCTGGCAAAAATAATCTAGACCATGGCTATAGAATATACAAAGGAAAGCTGGCAATTAGATCTAAAAATAGACCTGAAGTATCTTGGAATCATTTTAAAGAATCACTAAAAAAAAAAAAACACCCAAAAAACAAAACCCCCACCCCAATACAAACAAGAAAACCAGAAAAACTGACTAACAGTAGTAGCCAAGAAGTTTACCAGAATATCTGCATCATCAGGTAACATATCAAGAACTATACAGAAAGGACTTTTTTTTTGTGCTGAGTAAAACTATGGCGTGCCTCCAGCTACGTACTTTGTGTTAGTCTAATGTGAATACTTTAAGAAGAAGGTAGCACAGTGACAGAAAGTATAGAGAAAGGCAGGTAAAATGAAGGAGCAATTACTAAAAAGGGCACAGACACTAATTTGGCGAGAAGCTACAAGATGAACACAACTGTGACTTCAAATCTCACACAGGCATTATCAATACTCATTAATCCTCCTATGCAGTGCTTATGAAACCAAATGAATGCAAGAGAAGAGATCCCCAGAAGACAGCCAACTAGTGTACCTGTCATAAAGAGCATCTCCTATTGCAATGGCTGGACAAAGGACTGAAGAAATATCAGTCTTATACCACTTATTTTCATAAATGCAGAATTTCATTGATTTCTGCTCTATGGAATGCCGTATGGAATATAGCTGTGAATGCACAGCTTTAGCATCCCTGTTCTAATCTTCCTTCTAAGGAAATAGATCTCAGAGATCCCAAAACTATACTCACTTTCTTCTCATGGGACAATCTTTCATGAAATGGCCAATTTTACCACAAATTCTGCAGCATCTATCATTTGGTGCCAATTCTCCTTCTGTCAGTACCTCTGGATCAAAGAAGTACTCCTGAAAAAAAAAAAATCACAGAATCACAGAATTGTAGGGGTTGGAAGGGACCTCCAGAGATCATCGAGTCCAACCCCCCTGCCAAAGCAGGTTCCCTACAGCAGATCGCACAGGTAGGCATCCAGGCAGGTCTTGAACATCTCCAGAGAAGGAGACTCCACCACCTTCCTGGGCAGCCTGTTCCAGTGCTCCGTCACCTCACTGTAAAGAATTTCCTTTGGACATTTGTGCAGAACTTCCTGTGCTGCAGTTTCCAGCCGTTTCCCCTTGTCCTGTCTCCACTCACCACTGAAAACAGTCTGGCCTCGCCATTCTGCCCCCACACCTTAGATATTTATAGACCTGGATCAGGTCCCCTCTCAGTCTCCTTTTCTCAAGGCTGAACAGACCCAGTTCACTCAGCCTTTCCTCATAGGAGAGATGCTCCAGGCCCTTCACCATCTTCGTGGCCCTCCACGGGACTCTTTCCAAGAAATCCTTGTCTTTTTTGTACTGGGGTGCCCAGAACTGGACACAGTACTCCAGATGAGGCCTCACCAGGGCAGAGTAGAGGGGGAGGATCACCTCCTTCAACCTGCTGGACACACTCTTTTTAATGCACCCCAGTAAGCCATTGGCCTTTTTGGCCACAAGGGCACACTGCTGATGCATATGATGCATATAAAAATGATGCATATAAATTACAAGTTCATACACTGGGCAATCAAAACATATAAGTAAGTTGTTGAAATTTTGCTTATGTACAGTTCTGACAGATCTAACGAGATAAAATCGTCCACTGCTTCCTCTTCCCCACAGGCAGCCGGCTGACTACCAGGTGTGCAACATTCTTTCTTAAACCAGTCTTAAAAAACCCTAAGCTTTTCTGAAGGACGCTGAACTGTCTAAAAGCCTACATAATGAATATCTCCCTTGATCAGTATTTTGTATGCCCCCACATTTTATAGGCAAACAATATGAAAAAAAGTACTCAGTAATAACAGTTCAAGGATTTATAAGAGCACTGCTGAAATTAAGAAAAGCATTAAGAGACCATAACCGTGTTCTTAAAAGTGAGTTACACAATGAAAAACATGCATATGATGCCCTTAGGAGCAGCTTACCATTTTTGATGGATATTCTTTAGGAAATATTTTTACAGGAGTACCAAATACTCTTCTGCCGTTTATAAAAGCTTTCATTATAAAGTTTGTCACTAGGGAAACACACACAAAAAAAGAGAAAACATCATGTGAACATCAAACAAGCCAGTAAAACAAGAATTGTCACTTAATATCCAAGTTTTTCAACAGGAAACTTACTTTTTCTTGATAATCCAGCTCCAAGATTGTGGTTCAAATCGAAGGGGTCTGTATGGAAAGCATTAGAGATATAAATATTTATATGCATATATATACACACATACACACACAAACAACCCAAGACAACTGTTTTGAAAACAGAATTAATGCACTAAAATTAAACTGTTTGTGAATTTCTGGAAAATAAATTAACTTCATGGACAAAGGATCACGTGAGATGAAAAGTGAATGAAGCAGCCCCAAGCGCATTAGGCACAGTATAGATTGACAGTCAAGGGAAGGAATTGTTCCACTCTGCTCTGTACTTTTGCAGCATCACCTCGAGCACTGTGTGCAGGTTTGTGCACTGCAATATAAGAACATAAAGCTACAAGGGAATGTCAGAAGGAGAGCTATAAAGGTGATGAACGGCCTGGTGGGCAAAGTGTATGAGAAGTGACAAAGGTCCCTTCGATTCTTCAGTCTGGAGAGGAACAGACTCAAGAGAGGCCTCATGGCGACCTACAGCTTCCTCATGAGGGGAGCAGAGGGGCAGATGATGATCTCTTCTCTCTGGTGACAGCAATAGGACCTGAGGAAACGGCATGGAACTGCATCAGGAGAAGGTCAAGTTGGGGATAAAGAAAATGTTCTTCACTGGAGGGTGGTCAAACCCTGGAATCTGCTCCCCAGGGCAATGGTCATGGCCCCAACCCGCCGGAGTTCAAGAAGCATAAGGAGAATGCTCTCAGAGATAGGGCTCGAATTCTGGTAGGTCCTATCTGGAGCCGGAAACTGGGCTCTGTGATCCCTATCATTCCAAATCGGAATATTCTGTGGTTCTATAAAAGAATATGCTTAAGCTGTATATGGGGCAAGACAGCAGAAGTTCTTTCTGTGAAAGTCACATGGCCCAGAAAATGACTTATGGAACATTTCTAAAATGTATCACTGCATTTTCCTAATAGAGATCTTAGCGTTAACAGTGTAATACATATACAACATTAAACTGGTCATTCAAATATGAACTCTGCTAACCTTACTATTAGTGGGAAAATCTCACAAGTATGATTTCTGCTTTGCAGCTTTTTTGCAGGTGGGAAGAAAAAGAATAATTTTTAGCTCCTCTGAAAATGAATGGGAATTTTATGAAGACTTAAAACGTAACAAAATAGCAACTTGTAATCTATTAATAGAAAACTAAATAAGCCAACACAGAATGACCAAGTTTTTCATGTGGACATTAAAGAAATTCCATATAGGGATGTACATTATGTGATTTTACCTTCAATAACAATGTATTTGGATGTCCACTGCTTCTTGAAAGTTGTAAGCAGGTTCTTTCTCCTAATGCAGATGACATGCTCTTTAAAATCAAAGTCTTCAGTGTAAAAACGAAGAAGTCCCAGCCACAGTTGCCCTACAGATTCAGTGTTTTTGCCAAAGTCAGGCCAAACAACTGGCTGAAAATGACAGAAATATGTTTATTTTCTACACTTACACTGGAGAGAATAACTTAATAACTTTCAAATCCAACACAATCCAGTTACTCCAGGATACTTTCTTTCTAAACTGCCACTAAGAACCCAATTATTGATTTTATAATAGCATGTCTTTAAACTTCAACAGAACTTTTAACATTAGGTTTTGCCTTTAATAATTCACTGTAAATGCTCACTTAATTCAAAATTATTCAATAGGTTTAACCTACTATGGCCATAAGCGTAATTAATATTTAAAAGAAATTCTCTGCTCAGTAACGTGATGCACATAATGATTAATCATCATCAACATCTGAAAGCAATTTATTTTAAAACTACTTTTTTCAGGTTATGCAGTGGATTTTTTTTGTTTGCTTCTTTTTCAATGTACAGATGCTTGCACTGCTGGGTTGAATAGAACCATGTTCTTAGAAGTTCACATTTCAATTTATAAAGCAGTAGCTACTTCAGTTCCACTACTGTGTTCAATCAATATGTCTGAGAACATTTCTTAAAATGAATTCTTTTTCATTTTTTACTCACCAACTCTTCTATCTTATCAAAGAAATAAACGTTCCAACCATCAACTAAAATTTCAGGCTTTTTTGGTTCTTTGTAGATCTGAAAACATAGTATTAAATTCAACAGAAAAGCCTTTAAGAACAACACTAACATTCTTCTGATCAATACTGTGTACAGGTACTGGTTTCTTTATTGATATACTGTACCTCTTGAAGAACAGGGATGACAGGTGGATTTCTCTGTTGAAGAAAATAAAGCACCATAAGAGTATATGCATAAGAAGAAAGGCTACCACGAGATGCATCTCCAATGTCGCACATCTAGAAAAAGGAACACAAATTACATTTTTTTTATGATCATCACCTCATGGTGCAGGTACTACCTCATCCTGAATGCCCAAAAAACTCACCTTTGTAAAAACTTTCATCGTATAGCACAGATATTTCACTCGAGGATCAATGGCTGCATATGATGAAAGAAGTCTTGTATTATGCAAGGCCTATGAAAATAAGAAATCCATATATGAAATATAGGAGGTCTGAAGAAGTTGAGGGAATGAGCTGAAAACACATAAAATGTTTTTAGTCAAGAGAAGACAACGAATGATTCAGAGCACTGTAGATTCAGAGTTCACATGCATACTTCTTCAATTTTAATTTACTTACTGAGTTTGTGTTAACAGCCTGTAGAGCTGTGAGCTCAACAGTTAAGCCCCGCATAGTAGAATGTATATTGAGAAAGGAAACATTCAACAGTGAGGTTATCACTACTACTCTACTGAAAGGCTAACAAACAACTCATGCTTCTCAGAGTTGCTATAAAGCAGAATTCACAGAACACTACTTCAGAAAGTGAAGTATTCATCTATTAATGCATTTTCAAAATATACGGTAGGAGGTTAATTCTTGAATTAAGAGATTTCATTCCAGAAAAGTGAGAGCTATCAAATTACCCATGGGGATGCAAAACTTCAAGTACACACTTTTAGATTTTGTAGTTGAGGTATCCTTCTCTACTTGGGCTCCCCTCAGACTCATACAGAAGCTTCAGAAAGCTTAATGCTTGGCTCTAAAACTCACTTTCCTTCAATGCTGCAAGGAGCTGCCTATTGATGTACAAAACATCGGAAAAAAACAAATGATACTTCTTTTTAAAATATTTGGCCAATGACTTTTTTCTAAATTGTGTTGTATTCTAGTCCAGGCAAGCTGGATTCCTGTTAGTATCCCACGCCTCAAAAGCTAAGTATGACTTGTGATGGGAATTGAGGGATGGGAAAAGTGAAGTTATATTATTGTCTGTTTCACAGAAAGAATTAAACACTATCACTTATCATTACTGAAGAACTACTATCTTGTCTTACAGATGTATTAACACTGAAGTCCTGATTGCACAATTGATTGCACCATGTCAAAAATAACTCATCTGTGCTTGGAAATTTAAAACTGGAGTAGAACTGGAACCACTTATAATTGAACCTAGACAAAACAATCATTTCATTCCCAAGAAGCAGCCCCACATTTTATTACTAAAAACCAGATAACCTTACCAGAGTGTTATATAAACTGATGTCTACTTCAAGACCACTTCTGACATGGAAAAATTTGACAATTGGGACTTTAGCAGTTGTTATAGGCAAGACATTTCGTAGACCTAGGAGGAAATATTTCATTACTCAATGTCTACAATACAGTCATAACAGTATGGAATACTCTCCAAATAATCCCAAACTGTAATAAGAATGCTACACAATAAAATCTTAGTTGATATCAAAATTGTATCAGTAATACATGATTATTAAATGACTTCAGGCATTCGCCAAACACTTTGAATTATGAATACTACATATTACATATACAAATATAGTTATGCCCTCCCCCCTCAATAAAACAAAGATTAGTCCAAATGTAACAGCAAAATAAACTTAGGAGGTTGTTTACGATTCACTCTTATTTATGTTAAAAGACATGCAAGATAAACCAACACAAGCAGTGTAAAACTGTTTCTCTTGTAGATCAAGAAGGACTACTTCAAGCTTGTATTAGGCTACCTTTTATCATTACATTACTAGGCACTAAATGCAAAAATACAATATAGCTACTAACATGAAGCCTCAAACTTCAACTTAAGGCTCATTTTTACACATTAAGGTTATGAATCTGCCCAATTCAGTTGGGCACAGTCTGCCCAATTCAGTTGCAGTTTTATAATATTATAACTCAGAAACCTACACATACAAATAAATACAAAAGTCCACAACATAATCTCTTAGTTATCAATATTAAACTCATACAACAATTTCATGACTTTCCATCTACAGGGCCCAAAATTTTCACGTATCAACTGAAGTCATAAACAGAATAACTTATTTCAATGTTTAATTACCTGACTGTTTCTTGAGAACTTTTGCTAAATCTTCAATAATTTTGATACAATCAAGTCCCTAAGACAGTAAGAAAAAAAAGTCAAAACTCAAATAATACCTGCTACAAATGTTTCAAACAAATCTTTTATTAGTTGCTATTTAAGTTTAAAGTTACATAACTGGGTTTCATATAAAACGATTAGGTATACACCAGAAATTGTTTCAAAATAGCACTTGTAACTTCAGCACTAGACAGACAGTACCTCAATACAGGCTTTTTAAAACTTTTGTTTTATACATGAAAGACTCATTTCATGTTCCACTGTTTCCCATTCATCGTTGCTCGTGCCAAAAAAAATGTTATTTATCTGCACAGCTAATACTAGAAATTATGCTAGCACCCTAATTCAGAAGAAAACTGTTTATGAAGAACTGAGGTTCTTAAACTCATGCACAGATCAGTAACAAAAAAAGGTAACGCCATCTTCTTTTGTCACACCTACTTGTGTTTTCCTCTATCTGAAAAGCTTTCATAAAGCTACAACATACATACAGTACAAAGTTTGCATTCACTGGAAAAAAAATCTTGTCAAACTACCTCAGCAGTTTCCAACCCATCCATCGTCATACAGATATCAAGATCACTTTGTTTGAAACCAAAGCCATTTTTTGAGGAGCCAAACAAATTCAGCTTTGTTCCTGTAAGAGATGTGATGGGTTATAATCACATGTTAACAAACAAAAGCTTGAAACCACTGCATGCTTTTTAATACAGGCATGAAAACACTAGTGATTTTTATGTTACTTTAAAACTTAGTTCCTATCAAATTCAAAATGATCTCTGCTTTCATTAGCTAAAGTGAGAAGTCTGACAGAAGCAAATTCGGTGTTCCCAAGTTAAGCATTCGGGCCAGGACTGAAACCAGATTAGAATAGGATTGCTTTCTACAAGAGATCTTTGAGATAAGGCACCTCTGAAGTCCAAGTCCTACATATAAAAGAACCCAGAAAGAAAACAACAGTTTCATACAGCCAAGATCCGAGAAAAAGCCAAAATTTAAAAATATTTCAATGCCGATAATCTGTAGCAGGAATATTATGGATCAAATGCTTTTGTCCCTATAACAAATTTAAAGAAGTATATATATGCAAACATATAGACTAATGTATGTATGCAAGTGCACATACATATAGACAGACAGACAAACTTTGAGGCATTACCAAGTTTTCCATGTCTTGGTAAGTATAAAGAGAGTAGTGATGAAAACACAGAAACATGCATGTAAACTAAAAAATTGTTCTTTAACCTTGAAATCAAGACCCCTACCAGAATTCTTAAAAACAAAAAAGCCTTTTTTTTTTTTTTAAAGAAGATATAATGAGAAGCCTGGTTAATGAATGAAGCTAAAACAGCTATCTTGAAACTGTCCTACTGCTTTTATTTTCTCTTTAACTTGCCCTTGTTCCTTTGTACAGATGCATTCTTATGCATGATAAAGTCACAGAAGGGTTAAAATAAAATCTATGGGGAGGCTATTGCTTTTCTTAGTCTCTTTAAGCAAACAAACCACACAACTAACCTAGTTTTCAAGTCTTTCTTCTTTGTTAAAAGAAGTAAAATTCATATCAACAGGAAGAAAGTCCAGGGCATCATACACAAAATTGAGACATTAAGATATGTTAATAATATGACCATTGTAACAGAAGATATACAATAAACAACAATACAGATCAAATGCTCAAAACTAAAATGTTTATTATGCTGACTTGACATGTTTTCTTGGAAAACACTTAAATATGAACACATCAAAGCATGAATATAAAGGCAGAACTTAATCACCTGGGAATTCCAGTCTAATGAAGTTTTCCAGGTTTTGTCTTATATGTTCCCGAGCCTGATCCTCTATAATATTTGGAGCAAAATCCTCTTTAAAAATGAACAAACAAACAGTTAAGGTAAACTGATCTGTAAAAAGAGTCAACAACAAAGATTGAAAAAGGGAGGGGAGCATAGTAAGGGGGAGAGAAAAGCAGAAGATTCAAATGTGAGGGAACGATAACAAGGATGAAGTAGAAGGGAAATACCTGCTCAAAGAAAAACATTAATTAGACAAATAATGCATTTTGTCTGGTCAGAAATGGCGAGAGAGAAAGGAAGAAAGTTGGGCCACTCTGAAAAGAACAAAAGTGGAGAAGTGTTATAAAACAGTATTCTGATTTGAATTTTTCAAGAACACTGAAGTCTTGTTGAGAATCGTTACTTGAATTTTTAATGTAAAAGCACCAGTCAAAACACTCCACCATAAAACAAACTCTTAGATTTATATTAAGATTCCTAAACTAGTTGTCAGACAGCCATTGCCACAGAGGCAAACCTAAATATTTTTTATTTCTCAAGGTATACACTCTAGACACAGTCCTACCGTATTCTTACAAATCTTATAAAGTACAGTCATACTGTAGCCAGTGCAGCAAATAAACTAGACACCTTTATAATAATAGCTTCTGGTTGTCATTGATTTTTGCAGTTGTTTTTCTTTTTTTCTTCCCCATAATAGCATGTAAAGGAGAAAAACTTACGGTAACACTGGACACAAACTTGATCTAGAATAACTGAAAACTTGGGTGTCAGAGGTGGCAGTGGGTCCAGCTCAATTTTCTTGAAGTCTTCTGGACAATCTCGTTTTAAGTGACCTTCCCGTTTGCACAAGCTACACACTACTGTAGGAGACTGCATGAACAGAAAGCAAAATTGGTTTCAAAAAGCATAACCCCTTAACGAAGTTGAACAGTACTTTCATATAACTGATTAGAGAGCATAAACAACATGTGCACATTCTGTTAAAGCTCGCTTACCTTGCCTTTTGTAAAAGCTTGTTTACTAAATTCATAAAAGAGTTCAGATTCTAAACACTTTTCTACCACTGCATTCTCTTCACAAAGATCTCCCTTCTCAGTAAGATCCTCTTGACTGAAACTGATCCTCAGAGATCCGTGAATGTTGTCTTTGAAACGGTTTTCTTCATATTTATTAATGATGGATAAATCATCATCTTCCTCAGACAGGGCATTCTCATCTCCAGATCCAGGGTATGTATTGTCTAGTTCACCTTTGGTTGTTAGGATACCACCACATGCTGCCTGGTTTAGAAGACTCAGTTCTTCCTCCTCTTCCTCCTCCTCTGAGTTAATCACTTCAGCCAGTTGATTCTTTGTTGAATGTATGAACTTCTGGGGGGATTCATCCAGTTCATCAGTACCTTCAGTACTCTCCTCATCAGCATCAATCTTGTTATCCATTATGCCTGTGCACTCCAAGCCAAACTCATCACTCTCTGTAAGTGCTGTTATTTGAAAACCTTCCAAGTCTGAAGTACTGCATGTCTCTATATCATGATCTGTCATTGTTACAGGGAGATCTCCACCATCGCTGTCTTCATCTATTCCCTGATCAGTAGACAAGATATTATTCCATCTTGTTTCTTGCTCTTGTTCTTCTTCTTCCTCCTCCTCCTCCTCCTCATTTCCACTCTCCATCTCTTCACAACTTGGTTTAAAGCCCTCATTATCTCCAGAAATAACCTCTTCAACTATGCAGTCTGAATCTTCTTGAACAATTCCCAAATGACTTGTATCATCAGCCAGTTCTTCTTCTGTCACGCTCTCTGAGCCATCACACACCTTTGAAGGAAAAGTTCCATGTACCTGAGGAATATCTGTAGTTTCAATTACATAACCTTCCACTACTGCTGTGTTAATTATACCACTGACATTTTGCAACTCAGAATTGTCAGGCTTTACACTGTCACTTCCATTGTCCAGCTTTACAGACTCCTCCTCATTGGCATTTGGAAGGGATTTTTTTCTCAATTTCACAGGTTTTTTGTGAGGTAAAGCAAAATACTTGTAAGTTGCTCTCAAGCAGTGAAGAATGTATTCGTACATTAGCTGGCTGTTCAGAGTTCTTGCAACATTCCTTTTGACCGAATATGGGTCTAGTAGAAAGAAAAATTAAGCCAGCAGTGCAGAGGTTAACTTTTAAAAAAGTAATATACTTAGATACTTCAAAAAATTCCAATATAGTATTGTTAGTTACACTAAAATGCCTAGGAACATAAATGTATGAATACAACTGAAGACAATTTATTTTATGTTTTTAAAGGCCAGCTACATCACTCACATTACTTCTGATAACACCACCCCAAACTGATTTTTTTAAAAACATTCTACAACACTGCTGGGCTAAAAGCTAAAAAATCCAAAGTTATTGTACTTTATCTCAACAGCAAAGACAATACCCTGGAAAGTTAATGGCAACAGTTCTATGAAGTCTGTTGATATAACATACCTTCCACAGCTATGCGCTTTTTAGGCCAGTCCTTCAATTCACGCGACACTATTTCTTTCAGTCGTATGCTAATAACCAAATCAGCCATATTGAACTCCAAGGCATAGAAACGAAGCAGTTCTACCCAAAGTTGCCCTACAGGTGCTGAACATTTCTGTACTGAATCAAATACTAAGGGAACCTGTCAATTACAGAAGAAAAAACCTTAATATTTAATGCATATACAGATATTCAGATCGTAAAAAAAAAAATCTGCTTATGTAGAACATGCATTTGCAAACAATATCATTTAGTTTGATTTCTTCATGTCCTATCTGTAAAGTGATATTATAAAATTCATAACTACTTCTGTAACACAGCAATTGCAACAACACCTGCAAAAAAGGATGAGATACCATAAGCTCTTATTATAAGACATCAAAATAAAAGACTCAGCAATAGCTGAAGAATAGTGTCAATGATTAATAGCAATTGGTTATGTGTCTTTGTTATAATTTACAAATTTCCAAGGAAACAGCACAAAATAGATTACAGATTCTAAATTTTATTGCTAACTGCTGCAAAATGTCATTAGAGAACAACACTAGGGATTGCAGAGTAGTTGTGAAATAAAAGATGTGTAAGAATAGTTTAGTCTAGTAGTTAAGTCTATATTTTCTCCCTTAACAGATTAAAACCCAGGGCCTTATCAAAGAGACTTGAAGTAATACCTGTTAGCTTCTGGGTACTTAGGGATAAGCATAGCAAGCTTTGTATGGAACAATTATGTAATCTTCCATTTCCTCTTTTGGTTTTGAAACATCAAAACCAGAGCAAAAATATAAGTTTTTTTTTCCCCCCCAAGAACAGTAAAAACTACTACACGACTACAAAAGGAATGTTAAATATTTCACACCTTGTCCCTTGTAGGGGAAGTTTCTTGTGGCAAATCAGCATTGTCAACAGGGTTATGTTCCCAAATCACAACATCATTCTCAACTTCTTTAAGATGGAAATTAGTTAATTTGTTTAATGAGAAACCTTCAATCTAAAGGAGATAGAAAAAGAAACAAAAATTAACATTACATGCAGTTTAAAGCATTCTTTCCAGGATAATAAGCCAAACTAGAACAAAGTTTAAAATCAGCTTTCTCTGGCCCTAGAAGATAATCCCAACCTGCTTCCCTCTTATCCCTAAATTTCCCTAAAAAAAGCTCTTGAGGAGCGCTGCATTTGAAAGTGAATAGCATCCTGCATTCACTTGCTTAGCATCCTGCTCAAGTATATGTATTTTAATTATACAGTCATACTGTATAGGACTTTTTCTCACATTTAGTGCAGAGAGTGAAGATACTCTGGGAAAGAGTCAGTCATGTAGCAAAGGAAATTGTTAATTGCAAGGCCTGTGTAATTAGTTATGGAAACTAGGACATCCACATTAAATGTTAATTAAATCTTACAAGTGACTGTATGAACAAAAATGCCTCGGATGTAACACCTGAATAGTGTCCTAGAGAATTGGTTTCTACCCATAATAGCCTGATCCCAATGCCCAAATGTGCTCCTGAACTGTAGTCCACACTTCCATTAGAAACCCAGATGTCAAAGTTCAAGACATTGTTTTGCGATATAGCTGTATTAATTCAGAGCTACCAAGGGTATGGAAGAAAGGCTGAAGAAATAAGGAAGTAGATTGTTATGCACTGCATTATTCAATTACCTTACTCCCTCAAGGGGCAGCAGTAGCATTTAATTCAATGTCTATGACTGCAAATTTTATCCTTTTACCTATTAGGCAAGTAATATATATATATATATACACACACTTAGTAATATAGTAACTAAGTAATATATATATACTTACAAGTTATATAACAATTAAGTGTGCATTGGCTGAATCACATTATCTCTGAATTCCTGCAGAAAAGAGTGGCTTACAGCTTTCTCAGCGTAGCAAGAAGCTGAGGTCACACCACAAGTGAAAAGATGGATCCTCCACTCACTCACAGTACCCAGTTTACTAATATACATACCCATGATCCCAAATAGACAGGTAGAAAAGGCTCTTTCCTCTGTTGCAGAAAGAAGATAACCATTAATGCAAACACATAGGGCGACAAACCTCCTTCCTCAGGACGATCGACACAGCACAGCTGTAAAATAAATTGTGCAGTAATTGCAGTTTCAAGAGAAACAGTAAAAAATATTGTTTTCCTTCCAATTAAAAAAAATAAATAAATCTGTCACTGTATATAGTGAGAAAAATTCAGGTATCTTTGAGCTCCTCTTGTGAGATTGATTCTGTTATCGAGATCAGTTAAGAGTCCTGCTGCAAAAATACCACAGAATCCAAGCACACAGAATGGCAAAACAGACAGCATAGTGCAGATTTTCAAAATCACTTTACATAGATGTAACCAAAGTTAAAATGCTTTTCTATGTTCTTCATAAGATTGTATTTTAACTGCATGCACACAAAGTCTTTGAACAAGATTGTTATTATTTTAATTCAAAAGAAAGTTTTGTCTATGTAAGAAAGAAAAATTTTATTTCCAGTCATTTTCACGATGTGTTAAGTTTATGCTAACTGCACTACACAGACATCTTTCTGATTTGTTTGGTAATACGAAAGAACAGAACATTTAGAGCTTTGCATGACACTCATGGAATCAATCTGAAAATTCCACTTCTAAAATTTAATGGAACATGGTAAGGCAAGAAATCATAGAATCATAGAATGGCTTGGGTTGGAAGAGACCTCAAAGATCGTCAAGCTCCAACCTCTCTGCCACAGGCAGGGCCACCAACCTCCATGTCTAATTTAGGCAGTTTGTAATTTAAACAAAAATTATACCCTTTTTCCAGTACTCTCTCTGAAACAGTTTAAGCAATGGTTTTCTAAATCATACAGTCTTACCAGTATAGTACTAATATTCATTAAATATTTTCACAGATGAAGGAATAAAAATAACTCTTACCTTTGCCCAGTACCTGAAGGCAATCACTAAAGATGCAACAGTAGGCTCCAGTTTTCCAATGGTAGCCAAATGGTTTGTTGTCAGATAAGCATTTTCATTCCCTGCACTTACTTTACAAATAAGGCCACTAAAAACCAAAGAGAAACAAAGTAAAAGACCTTGGAGGCCTTGTAAGAAGAGAGAGAGATCAGACTACATCTCACAAAACAATCTAGAGGGCAGCTGTAAGGAAAGGCTGAACAGCTCTTCCAAGACAGCATATCTATATTAAAAGAAGCATGAAAATCAACTTGATATATGATAAGATTGAAAACGAATGCACTATACACAGTCTGCTCTGGAAGTAATGTCTTCTATTTATTTCAATGGAAACTACAACAGATGCAAAGACCACAATAAGACTATTTGACAAAGCAAATTCTCAGTTACAAAATACTACTTCTTAACATAATCACCACCATCAGCTATACATTTCCATCAGTAAGACTCAGGAGTCTGAGCTTGCAAAAGTCTGAACCAGCAGAGGTGACTTCTGTGCATAGCTGTCCAGAACGTGGTCTGTCCTGCGCACTGCTGTCATCACTGCTGAAATGCACTGCCCGTTGCCTCACTGGGCTCATGTCCATTGATAGATCTCCATAAAAGTTCAGCAAGCATTGAAGAGTGTCAAGGGGATGCCATTTTTTCCACATCAGGGAATTCAGTTCTGCACCTTTATTTCAAATGCACTTCCATGCCATTTGGTCAGACTGTTCCTCTGCTGCCATCTGTTGCACAGCAACAAAATGCAACCAACTATTGCTAGGAAAGTTCAACCGCTACTGCCATGCCATAAACATCTGCATCTGACTTTGCAGGCCAACAAAATAAACAGGAGACATTACTTTTGGAAGCACGCCTCGTAATCTTCTGCAGAAGTGTGTTCAAATACATTCCAAATTTAAGTTGTTTCTAATGTGTTCAATTCTAATGATATTAAATCACTGAACTGTAAAACCTCAATTCTGATTTCCTTCATGTATCAAAAATATTTTCCCATGCCACACCCATTGCAAAATAGTTTCTACGCTGCTTCCACAGAACAAAAAACATTTTCAAACAGTGAAAAAACAAGGTAGCGGCAAATAACTGGTAATATTCCTGTACCAGAAAGTATTTATAGAATGTTTCATGAATCTTAAGTGATTTCCATTAAATGGGCAAAGTAAAATGTCTTTAACTCGTGCATGAAATATTAGTGAGGCTACGCAAGCTGATCTTGCCCTTAGAGAAATCTTCAATTTAATATGGCATCTATGTTATCTATAAGGAAGCAAAGGAAGTTTCTTCTTAAGCAGTTATCCCAAATGGAGGGGTAAAGGCACATGCTGGGAGCCAAAATGGTTGAAAGGACTGGGAAATACGCAGCTGAGGACAGAACAACCCTTACCCTCTTATTCTAGGCTAGGAATGACTTGCCCATGAGTGTTAGTTTGTGTTTCAAGATCCATGGAACTGTAACAATTTAGTAAAGAAACATCACTTTTCAGATGTTGGTACACATAATTTACATTGCTATATACTATTAGAACACAGAAAGTGACAACTGAGACCTTTGCTTTTCTCTGCATACCACCACCGGTATTCTAGTATGGAAATCTGCATCAACTCCAACAAAAGATTCTAGGCGGGAGAAAAGAGAAAAAAGCATATTAAGTATGGTATTGACATAAAATATTTTGAACTGGACACAACTAGAGCAGTTCAGCTGTATTCTGGCAATTTCGTGATTATTTCAAAATTAGTTATTTTATTCATTCATCCAAGGATGCTGAACATTAGATGTGATAAATCAACTCCAACACGCTCTTAATGCAAGTTTTTCACATGTGATAGGAAGAGCATGGTCTATATTCTATGATAAGAATTGTTATTTTAAGAAAATACTTAAGAAAAAACGAACTTTACAAAATTCATAAATACTGTAGACATACTTAAGTAGGGATATTTTGGTTGTGCTAACTTTACTGTAGGCAGATAAAACTTTAGACCAACAACATCCATAAAGGTATTGTGAAAGATTAAAGACATACAACTTTATCTCGGTACCAGGTGGAAATAAAGTAATTAATTTAAATTTCCCTTGTAATCTAGAAATGCTCTATGTAAGTATTAGAACAGGCTTGCTAACAAGAGGTAATGTCTTCCTCCTAGACTTTATTTTTCCCCCTCTTATTCTTTATGTAACTCTTCAAACTTAATTTAGATTCTTTTTTTTTTTTCCAATAACAGCAAGAAGTATAAATACCATAAATACCACTACAGCTCCTCCTCTAATTGGAGCATATTGATACAAACTTGATGTTTCATTAGGTCAGGTGCAGAGAGAACTATGAAAGTGTTAGCTATTCAGTGACTGCAAAACTGAAGTTCTGTTATGCTCTAGCAACTGAGACAACTGATCTCTTTGCTTTTGCCGTGGAAGTACCACAAATGCCTAATTCTCTGCCCATGTTATCTCCAGACTCAAAAAAAACTAGTATGTTAAAGAAAACGCTACATTTCAAAACACAGATTCTGAGTTCTTTTGGGATCTGGGTGTCCTTTTCTCACCTCCCATTGAATAGTAAATACTACTATCCTCAAAGACTGTAACAGTCATTTGATCAGACAGATCACATACATACAGCAGAGGGGATGAGAGGGACAGATAGAGAAATGGAAGAAGGATGGGAAGAAAAAGCTTAGACCAGAAAGTACATGCAAGTTTAATGTATTTGCCTGAAACTATACAGACTGAATTCCCATCTAAGAACAAAATCCAAGGTAAAATGTAAAAAATTTTCTTTTCAAAATTTGCATTTAAAATAACAGAGGTTATTTCCTATTTATTTATTTATTTTTGTCTGGATATGCTCTAGCTGGCTTGAGTATATTTAAGATGTAAAATGTCCTTTAGGAAAGTGATATTATATGACCACATATTAGTACACACAGTCATATTCACTGCTTGAAAAATGTGTCTGTATGCAGTCCATAGTACATTAGCTCACTGCATTAACAGACGAGTGCATACAATTACAAGAAAACAGATCACAATCACAGAATCAAAGCAGTCTGATCAAGTTAGAAATGTTCAATCTACTTCAGGTACTATACGTGGTTCATACTGCAGTTAGGGAAAGAAATGCACCACCTGCCTTCTTCACTTGTGATGCAGAAGAAAACATCCCATTAGGAATTCCTCATATCATCAGAAATAACTCCAGAAGTCATAACAAGTCATAAAACTAACTATAAAAGCAAGAGTAATTTCTGCCTCTACTAGTGGCAGAAATTTTCTGCATTATTTTCTGCAATAATTTTCAGGTTCAAATTAATTAAAAAACCCTCATAATAATTTGTTTTACATATTCAACAGAAGTGGAATTGATTAGCAGTAACTGTTTAATGGAACTGAATAGGAAGCAACTTACCACTGTTCTGTAGACATTCTTGAACAAGTAAGAGAACATCTGGCTGAGTCATCTGTGAATAAAAATAATAAAGTTGTTTTTGTTGCAGTGAAAAAGCTGATTTCCCACATCACTTTTTATTTGTTTGTTTGTTTGTTTGTTTTTAAACAATGCCTCTAGGTCAATTCTGTTTTCCTTCCAAGACAGCAAAAGGCAAATAGAGCAAGGTTTTATCAGGAGGAACATGGATGGAAAATATCGTGGAGTAACTGTAAGTTCATTTTTTATCTCCATCAAATTGAAACACTAAAAAATACTTTTTCAGTGAGTTTGATCAGCTTGCTTTCTGAAAGCAGTGGACCTGTCATGTGTCAAAGATTGGAATACAGCTTTTAATATAAACGTTTTAAGAATATAGATCATTCTTCTCTCCATTACACTTCAGCATTCATCAGAGAAAACGTCTGATTTTAGCTATGAGAATGTCAAACCAGGAATAATTGTAAGTGTGGAAAAAGAAACTTTTCACAGTCCTGAATTTCTTTTCAATGTCTCAAGCACAACAACATAAAAGAAAAACAAAACAAACAAACAAAAAGCCTACTAGCATGACAAATCAATACTTTAATTTGCATAGAAGATGATTTAATGACTCAAAAATGACACAGCAATCAGAAACTGAAGCACAGATGAGTACAAGAAGAAGACCATGGAAATGCTGTTTGATCCATTGATAATACAAGACAAATAAGTTGATCTGCCCCATACGACTGCTAGGAGTCCAGATGCTTTAGGTATTTTCAGTTTTTTAGAACAAGATTCAATGAAGTATGAAGTCATGTTATATTACAACAGTATTAGTGTGATAGCTCTGTACTACCCAATGCATTTTCATTTTGAAAATGCTATTACCACTTCATGAGTTATATTTAAATCATACACAAAGGTGTAAACCACTGTGATATATTTAATAAAATGGTCTTACTTACGCTGGCAGGAAACTGGATGTCTATGTTTATGTCTGAAGTTTTGAAACCAAATCTGCTAAAGGAAGATCCATACAACCTTAAGGAGCACTCTGCAACGAAAAGAATGCTCCATTTATTTTATTTTACTGACCTAAGTCTGTAGCTGCTTTACAACACTGGCAGTGCATCTTACACCTACCGCTAGATTTGATGACCACAAAAGCTCAGGACGGATCTTCCAAAAGCATAACACTCACTTAGTAAATCCTACCTTCTGTTGTTCAAATAGTAAAAGCTTACAATGAAGGTAATATGCTCCCCACATCCTGTTCATCTCTACTTTTCAGTCCAGGTCTATTTAGGTTATTACAATGAGCAACACTGTAATTTAATTCTGATATTGCCACATCTTATTGTTTAAAGAGACTAGTAACTAAATACAGTATTTTAGTATCCAGCTAGCCAAGTTTTTAAATGAGTTTCCACCTCTGTGAACTTACAAAAATTAACATATCTAGCAATTAGAAGAAACTGCAAAAAATACCTGGCAATTTTTGATGCAGTAAGTCTTCCATTATTGTTCCAATCTTGAGCCTTTCTTGTAAATCTGCATTACTTAAGCCAAACTCTTGTACTACATTTTCAATGGCAACATCAATAGCTTTAATCTGTGAAGGTGTTGGAGGAGGCAGGGCATTCAATAGCTGTTCCTCTTGCTTTTCCTTTAAAAGATAAGAAAACTAATGATTCTGTTCAATTGCTTAATGTTCTAGAATGAATGAATGCAACTTATCTCAATTACCATAACCACAGTTGATCAAGACCATGAAGGTAACTGGAAAAAGAACAAGAGAGAAACTGCAATAGGTATAAAATATATATACCAAGAAGCTTCAATAACCTGCAGGGGTACATACATGTGTACATTTATTTGGGTATATGCATCTGGAATGTAAGAAAAGTCATCAACTCTTTCATCAGCAGTGTGTGTGTTTAAGTACACACGTATCTGGAATGTAAATAAACCACACCAACTCTTCAAAATCTAAGAAATAAGGAAGTCTAGAAGTTAATGAGGAAGAAACAGAAAACATGATCAAGACAATTACTGTCTACTTCAAGCTGGGAAAGCAGAATAAAAGAAAAAAAAAAGAGAGGAACACTGAGGTCTTGCTAGAAATTACTTTGAGGTTTGTTCTGAACATGATCAAACTAATTCATGATCATCTAAATAGGCCTGCAATACTCCACAGGCAATTAATTTTATTTACAGTATTCTGAATGGCAATCTTCATCCAGACATACAGCTTATGATTTTTGCTTATTATTACACCTCACTGTTTTGAACTTTATCAAAACACTTAATTGATGAGATATACCAAATATACACCAAAAGGAATGCATGTAACCAGTCTATTAGAAGAATTATAGAACAACAGAAGAGTTGAAACAGGTCTTTTTTGTTATACTTGATCTCTAGATCAAATACTATTCCATGACAAATTAAATAAGGACTTCCTTTAACGATGGACATTAAAAAGTATAAATTACATTTCAAAAGTGAGAGAGAAAGTAAAGTCCAGGTATTAAGTTTACTCTTTTTATGAGCCTTAATACGTAATACATTTTCAAGGAGCTTCAAATATAGTAAAAAAATAAGATTATTTTAGATACAGCGCAGTTTCACAGTTAATAGCAGGTGAAGACAGCTTCAAAAGCCTGCATTTTACACTTCCTCTACTGTCCTTAACTCACCTTTATGCTTTTCTTGTGTCTTTTCTCCTTAATATGCTTATGAGCAAAAGTCACAGATTCAATCAAAACATCACATAATTTGCAGGCATATTTTGCTGATGGGTAGCTTCGAGGTTGCTAAAATAAAGACAGAAAGAAACCACACCATAAAATAAAGAATAATGCTAACTTAATTTTGTTCAATACCCTTGCTAACAGGAAGACTCTAACACTGAAATCCAGGAATGCTCATTCTATCTTTCCCAACTCTATCTTTACAATTAAAAACTTCAAACACCAAACAATGCCAGAAGAATGCTGCTGGGAAATTAAGTCCAGTACCTTGTTGTTCAGTACCCCCAAAACCATGGCAGAATATATTAACTGAATGTACAATTATATTTTTCTGATCTGCTGGCCCAACCTCTAGTGAACCGATGTTAATTGGAGAGCAGATGGATCAGTCTTTTTTGCAATTATCTTGCTGCCACATTAAGACTTAATAAAATAGAAAAGGATATCGTGCCTTCTCTTTACAATTCATCTACTCTGTCGTTACATCGATAATGACCTTCTAACTATAGCCAGAGATATTGCTCAATACGCATCTCTACATTTTATTCAAAGATTAAAAATATAGGAGATAAATAAAAGAGTGGCACCTTCTTCAGTCTATAAATGAAGTCTCGCTTCAATCGTTCTTCAGCTTGCTGTAAACCTAGAAGCTCTTTTGCTGAAAGCACAGATTCATCTATGACTGGGCCACCCACTTCATCATCTTGATCATACTCATCTTTTCTACTTCTTCTTGATCTCCTTGTTTTCCTGAGTTTCTTCATTTCTTAGAAAGAATTATGAGAGCAAACACAACAAATAAATTCAAATACCATACGAAATTCTGGATTTCATTTCCTCTTTTAATTTCCATTCTACTTAAACGCAAGCCAAAGAATCATCTACTCTGCATGGTATCATAGCCTGTTTTGTGTAAGTGTGATAATAGCAAAAGCGTGCATCTATGACAGAGCCTGGATTATCACTTGTTACAAATGACAATGAAACACTTGTTCGTCTCACTGAAAATAACTGGCATGCTTATTTAGATAATTTTCCTACAGTTGAAAAAAAAGTAAAGATTTAGGTGCCTACTTGAGACATACCAGTATAACGCTATGAAGATACAACATGCCCAAAGTATTAAAGAACTCCAAACACCACTTCTTTTAAGCAATGCCTGTTGTCATTTTGAAGTACGAATTGCTACTAGCCTGAAAAAGATGTGTAAAACTTACCTCAGGAATGAAAACACATAGGCTGGATTTTCATGTAAGATTTTAGATTAATTTTCACTTGAATGGTTACATAAGATGTCCAGGTGCACAGAGTTTCAACATTTCCCTGCTCCTGACAAAATTTATGTAACTTTCTTAGACTCCAAAACTCTTGTCATACCATGAAGTTTATTTGTAATAGCCAGGAGAAAAAAAAAAAAAAAAAAAAAAAAAAATCTGCTTTACCCAATGTATTTGTAAGGTTTTGTCCCTGCTATTACAAATTTTGTATCTAATAACTGGCAAAGCAAAACAAGCTAGTTGTGAATTTTCAACCAGTTGTCTATTTCATTCACTGAACAACATGTTTGTGCTGGTGTTGTAAGCAGGAAAAGAACAAGAATGGTAACACAACCCCCTCAGCAGCAGAGCAGCACAAGCATATGTTGCAATAAACAGAACTAAGTCTTAGTAGGGATTCCTCTTTCTCCAAAGGACATTCCAAAGAACAGAAACAGAAGTCATAGCCTTGTCTTTACATATCCTTTCCATTTTCTGTACAGGCTCTCCTGCTGAGAATCCCGCAACAGCTGTTTGATCACATTTTTTTTCTGATGAATGCTGGTGTGACTTGGAGAAAACTGTCTATTAAATAAATGTCTCTGAAGGAAAGCATGTGAAAAGCACCTAATTATCATTTACCTTTGTAAGTATTAAGTAAGTTCAGAAAAAGCTGCAAAATAAATTAATACTTCTAGTATTATTTATTAGTTGAAGTAGTGACAATCTAACTATGGGCTAACAAGTAAACAAGTACTAAAGGTGTGTTCAAGTTAAAGATTATGCAGAAAAATCAGCACCTCGGATTTGGTAAACTCTGTGTGAGCTAAAGGAAAAAGGCACGAAGCTAAGAGGAAGAGACAACTGCACAGAAGATGTCAAATAAGAGGAAACATCAAAAAATGCATTAATAATAACTGCTATCTGACAGTTTATGCAGGGATCTCAAGAGGTGAGCTACACCATGTCTCTCCTTCACAGCAGGATGAGCTCTGTCAATGCTGGGTGATGCTCATCCAACCTTATTCTCAAAGGCATTTGCACAGACGGTGTGAATTGCCAAGACAACATCCCAAGTACTTCACAGTGTTACACAGAGAAACTTCCCCACTATTCTTCATCTGAATCCTTCCTGCTGAATTTCAGGCCTGCTCCTTTTTGTTTCTACTGTTGGAAAGATTCAAACAAGATTACCATAATATTTTCAATAACTGTCTGTATCGCTGAAAGTTATTATCATGGCTGCTCCCCACTAGCCTACAGAAGAAAGGTTTACCCTGTGTTAGTTGATGTTTTTTAGGTGCCCTGGCATTCTTGTTGTTTTGGACTGTTCCTGCTTTATTTATTCAAGAAAGCTGTTGAAGCTAGACACAACACTACAGCTAAGTTTGCCAAAAATATACAAGAAAAAGCGTACTTCAGGCTACAATTTTGAGTTCCTACACCTCACAGTACCTTGATGCTGACTACTCATTTTCATCTTCCTATTCATTATGATCCCAGATACTTCTCTGAAGAAATTCTACTTAACAGCTCTTTCTTCTTCATTTGTGCATCCCAACTTAAATAATAGATTTCACATGTGTTCATTTAGTATCTCAACCTGTACCTAGGTCAATTCTTCAATTTTGCTACATAATTTCTATTCTTCTTCCTGCATTTCTGCATTTAGCTCCTACCAGCTCTGCAGCTCATTTATACTAATAAGAACACTGTCTACATTCATAATCAGAATAGTGTAATAAAGCTTCAACAGAGTAGAGCTCTTGCAGAAGTTTGGTCAATGCTTACTATCACTTTAAGAAGATCACTGGTACTTTTCGTAGCTCTACAACTTTGCTGTATTAATTTCAACCAGAGAATTTTCCTATAGTTTACTTATTCTGGGACTGTCACCCAAGCATTGAGAATACTACTAACAGTATTTAACCTTTCTCCCATGTCATCACTTTATTATTTTTAAGAAATAAATTACATACTTTATACTTTCTTCTAGGCAAATCCACATTTACCGCTACTTGTCTCTTTGCTATCTGGCAGATAACCACAGTAGGTTACATTATTTGTTCCAGAATGGATTTCAAAAATTAAAGTTGCATATCCTTTTAGATACAGTTTTAAAGAGAGGCTTGCCTTTTCCTGCATGCCACTAACTCAATTCCCCTGTGTAAATTTTGCTCTGCTCTTTCCTTCTGAGACTGAGCTTTGCTTTGCAATTTATTTTTAACAATGGGAGACACTGGACACCTGCTCAGAATTCATCCTCTTACAACTGATGTCAAGAAAAAAGACAGTAGAGTCTCTTTAATAGTAGAGTAGACTTTTATACATCAACTAGCAAGACCTTCCCAGGAGAGGAGCAGAATAGACCATAATCTTAACTAGAATAAGAGACCTCTTGATAACAGTTAGCTGATCCCTGCCCTCTTAGCAGCACTTCAGCCAGGTCGCAATCTCTCTTATTTTACCTAACTATGAACATATAAAAAAATGTTGGTTGTTTTTTTTTTTTTTTTTTTTTTAAGATTTTTTTTTTAAGAATAGGATGAGAGGTAATGGCCTTAAATTGTATCAGTGGAGGTTCAGGTTACATATCAGAAAAAATTTCTTCTCAGAAAGAGTGGTGACACATTGGCACAAGTTGCCCATCTCTGAAAGTGCTCAGGAATGTGGTGGGTGGAATGTGGCACAGAAGGACATGGTTAGCAGGCATGGTGGGACGTGGTTAGTGGGCACAGTGATTATGGGTTGATGGTTGGACTAGACAGTCTTAGTGGTCTTTTCCAACCTGAACGATTCTACGATGCTTCTTACTGCTTTAGTCTACTTACACTTTTTTCTCATACTGAAGTTCTGATTATACTTATGACTTTAAGGGAAATACATTATTTGTTCTTACTGCACTACTTACTTGTGAGCATTAAGTTCTCACAACATCTCTGACACATTGTTTTCAGTCTTAATTAATATGCACTTTTATGGACTTCAATGGCAACTCTAGAATTTTATCCTGAAGCAACCTAAATTAATTATCTCTATCTATTAACAGATTCAATCAAACCATACCTGGAAAACTGCAAACAGGGATAACATACAGTTGTTGTAATTTCTGTACCATGTAAAACCTAACACAATTTATAAAACAAGTTCTATACCACCCACTGTACCAACTTGTTTAAAGTGATTCAACATAATAGAGTAAATTTGCATTGTATGACAGAACAAAAACATTTTTTTGATTTAACAGCAATTATAGAAATTTTACTTTTCATTAACATATACAGAAAGGTACCAAATAGTACGCATAATAACAAACATCTTGATTACCAGAGCTTCCTCTCTGCAAGTCTGACACGTCTTCATCTGCTAAGTCTTTCTGAAGTTGTCGTCTTACATTTCTGTTTCCTGCACCTTCAACTTCGTGAAAAGAGTCCTTTCTTGTTCTGTTATGCGTGGGAATCCAGATTCCAGATCTGTAGTCTCTCCGGTTTTCAGAATTACCACGGTGGTCATCAGATATCCACTTCTTTATTTGGTCTTTTTGAGTGTCACTCAACTTTGACCCTGGACTGGGAGTTATATTTTTAAGAGAATTTGGGCTACTGAAAACAGTACGTGGTCCTCGTCTGGGACTACCTCCATAATGACCTGGTGTTCCCTTCTTCTTCTGCAGGCTGATATCTATTTTATTGCTATGGCCATTTCCATATTCATCTGTTACTTGGTAGTCTTTCCGTGAGAGACCTCCTTTGAACTCTTCTTCAAATATTATCTCCGGTTCCTTACTTTGTTTGGTAATGTAAGGCTTCGCAGTGTCTCCCATAGTTATTGCTATTTGATTCTGTGGTTCACACCTAGAAAATAAAAGTTAAAAGGAGTATTTAAAAATAATCAACCAATAAATACAGACGTACTGGTTACTGAAATCTCAAAAACAAAAGCCCTGGCTCTGTAATACCGTAAAGACAGGAACATCTTGGTGAAAATGAAATTTTACTTCACTCAAATAAAATTCAAAATTAATATAAGCTTCTCCTCTTGAAATGTCTAAAGCTGGTTCACAAAATGCAGTGATAGTCCATGGCATTTTTTTTTTTTTTTTTTTTTTTTTTTTTTTTTTTTTTTTTTTTCTTCTTTCCCTCAGTATACTCAGCTCAGTACAGAACTTTTAAAGAGTCACAGAACAAACTTTGGTACACACAGAGTATTTAGGCTGCAGTAAAGGCAATGCTCCAAAGTGATGGAACAAGAGGGAATGATTTTAAACTCAAGGACGGAACATTTAGATTGGATGTCAAGCACTGGATGTCAAGCAATGCTCTTTAAGGAGAGAGTGGTGAGGTGCTGGAACAGGATGCCCAGAGAGGCCGTGAGTGCCCTGTCCCTGGAGGTGTTCAAGACCAAGCTGGATGGGGCCTTGGACAGCCTGGTCTAATATAAGATATGCAGGTAACTCAAGCCATTCTACGATTCTATGAAAAGCTAATTAAAATCATCATCCAAATATCATCCCCCACCGTCACCTCTGCAGACACTGTTCACTTTGTTAAGGATTAAAATCGTGATCAGTGTTACAGATGAGCAACAACTGGTCGGAGGCAAACATCACCCAGTGATAAAAAAAACCTTAGCTGCTAATGGACTTTGCACTTTCTACCTCTTCCAGAACTCAGAGGTTTCATATTATTGGGTAGTAAAATTGCATATTTCATACTACTTCAGTATTGCCTAAAAAACATGGGCTGCCAACATGCACCCCAGACTTTACCACGTCTGTTTTCTTACCATAAAAAGCTTTCAGAGTACTGTAATTAAGGAGCTAACTTAAACCTGGGAGACTAGGAAAGGAGAGTTATCTGGAAGAGATGTTAAACCAAATAAAGAAAAATCAGTCCGTGCAACTACACTATATTTTACATGATTGAAATCTAGCCATATACAACCAAACTGGAATTTTTTTCTCTTTCAGAAGAAGATTTATGTGCTTAAGACTGCAGAGAAAGCTACAGAACTACTGAAGCAGTAGATAATTCACTTCTAATGTATTCAGTATGGATATTGGATGCTTGATTTTATAGATATCTATCTACACCTATATACACACTCATATGTGTATGTACATACATTTACATATGTGCATATACATATAAAAAAGTTCTGCAGGCTCCAAAGGCACCAGTATACCATATCTCAGTGTCTGCTTCCTACCAGACTGAAGCTTTCAGTGTGTAACCACCACATAAGCAGAGCTCTGTTCTTACAACAGTGACAGTTCTTGGGTCCCTCTCCGAAGACCTGAACTCAGTCAGTTGCACATTAAGGCAGGGGTGAGTCATTCTAAGTAGGAACCAATAACAATACCGAGTACAAACTGGACTTGCTTCTTATGCTAGGAAAGAAGCTGCCACCAACTTCTTATTAAACAGGTCCCCCCGCAGTCACCTCGCGAGCCCATCCCACGCCCACGCACAGGTCGGGCAGGACGCTCGGCGTGCCCCGGCCTCACCCCGCAGCTGACACGAGGCAGGGCGCGGCACTCACGTGGCTCCGGACGGCCAGCGGTCAGCAGCAACGCCACCGGTGCGAGAGGCACCCCCCGCGGGGTCGGGAGGAGCGGACAGTGCCGCCAAGCTACCGGCCGGCTGCCGCAGGGAAGGGGCGCCGTCAACGCCACGCAGGACACGCGCTGGGAAGCCCGGGACCCTCGTTCGCCCCGCAGCCCCCTCTTCCAGCCCCCCTCGCAGCACGCACACGGCTCCGGCCCGCCTCCTACCTCCCCGCTCGGCCCCTACAGCAACCACCCCGGCGCTGAGCGGAGGAAGGGAGGAAGGGAAGGAAGGAGTAAAGGCCACGGCCCGGGCCGCCGCAGGCGCGGAAACTCGGTCGGGGGAGACGCTCGGCGAGAGGGCGCCCGGGAACCCGGCGGGAGGCCCCTCCCGGCCGCCATTCGCCGAGAGAAGGGCACTCACCAGCCGCCGACACTCCGACCCCTACCGCCTCCCCGCCATTACGTCGCGGCGGAAGCGCTGCCGTTCCCTCAACGCCGCCGTCCGCGCGGCTCTTCCGGCAACCCGGCCCCGCCTCCCTCTCGCATGGCGGTGCCTGCTGTGCCAGTGGTTCGCCGTACTGTGCGCCGCCATTAAGTGATCATGGGGTTTCCAACGTAGGTCATAGAATCATAGAATCACAAGGTTGGAAAGAACCTACAAGATCATCCAGTCCAACCGTCCTCCCATTACCACTGCTACCACAATCACTAAGCCATATCTCGCAGCTCATCCAGATGTCTCTTGAACGCTGCCAGGGACGGTGGCTCCACCACCTCCCTGGGCAGCCATTCCAGTGCCTGACCACTCTCTGAGAGAAAAAGTTTCTCCTTATGTTTAATCTAAACCTCCTCTGATACAACTTGCGGTTATTTCCTCGGGTCCTGTTCGTTGCTTGGGAGAAGAGGCCAAACCCCTCCTTGTCACACCCTCCCTTCCAGAAGTTGTGGAGTGCAATGAGGTCTCTCCTGAGCCTGCTGTTCTCCAGGCTAAACAATCCCAGGTCTCTCAGCAGCTCCTCATAAGACTTGTTCTCCAGACTCCTCACCAACTTTGTTGCCCTTCTCTGGACACGTTTCAGGGCCTCAATGTCTTTCTTGTAGCGAGGGGCCCAAAAGTGAACACAGTACTTGAGGTTGCTGAACAGGCTCCTTGCTGCAAATGTGCAGTGTATCAGCCAGCCTCGGCAAAGGTAGTCCAGCTAACATGAGAAGATTTTTGTGGTACTTTAGTCATTATCCTTGTAACAAAAGAGTAAATACATTGATCTGAACAGTCACAAAAACAGTCACAAGTACAAGTAACTTGGAGAATAGGCACTGAGTGCAATGCTGTTCACACATCGAGATGGAGACATTTCTTCCCACATCTGGATGCAGTATTCCAGGTGTGGCCTCACCAGTGCAGAGCAGAGAGGCAGGATCTCTTAACCTGCTGGCAGCGCTTCTTTTGATGCAGTTGACTTTCTGGGAGAGGGCACATTGCTGGCTCATGTCCAGCTTGTCAAACACCATTACCCTTTCACTTTTACCAATCTTTTACCCTTTTACCCATCTTTTACCCACTTTTACCCTTTTACCCATACACCATTACACTTCCTTTCAGCAGGTTGGGGAGACAAATGACTGTCAGACGAATACAAGAGTGGTAATGATAGAAAGGTGCTGTGCTGTAAGTGGATGGGAAAGAGAATTAATAGAGCTTGTTAAGTTCTTGAATATAAAAAAAAATACTAGAAGACCATATCTCATGAAGACAGGCTAGATATGTGTAAGTCAGACTACTGGCTATTACAAAACCATATTTTGTTTTTAAAGACATCTAATTTGTGGATTACTTCAGCACTGATATTGAATCTGACACAGACTTTTTGTTCCAGCTTAAGCTGGTCATTACATTTCCAGTTTCTCCATAACTACATATACTTAGCTTCATATTGTGCTTTGACCCAGCGGACAGCAAAGCACCATGCAGATGTTCATTCACAGCCCTTCCTCACATGCTCTTTCTTCTTTCTTTAGGAAAAAAACAACAACAAAAAAAGAATTGTGAGACCTCACAGGTTGAGGTAGGGATAAAGTAGGTAAGAAGGAAAAGAAAACAAAAAGCACCCCCACCCCATCAAAGAGAATACAGTAACAACAAAAAAAGCCCTGACAACTTATGCAGAATACTATTGCTTACCTCTAGTGGGGTGATGCCCAGCCAGTCTCCAAGCAAATACCCCAGCCAATTTTCCCCAGTTTTATGGTTTAACTTGATGTGGTATGAGTATGGAGAACTTTTTCGAGTTTGTGCCAGCAGTCCTGATTGTGTCCCATCCAAGCTGCCTGCACGCCTCCACATGCAGAACAGCATAATAAACTGAAAAGTCCTTGTTTTTTTGTATGCACTGTTTAACAACAACAACTAAAAACAGTGGTGTGTTAATGTCACTATTTTCATCAAAAATTCAAAACACAGAACTTGCCAGCTACTATCTCGGCCAAAACAAGTATTTAGTACATTTTTTAATTAGCATTTTTTGTTGTGAAGCATACTATTTTCTACTAGAGAAGTTTTCCCCAGAAAGAAAAACAAAAACAATAACAAAACAAAACAAAAACAAACAAAAAAAAAAAAAAAAAAAAAAAAACAAAAAACAAAAAACATCAGAACCTGACAAACAATCAGGGTTTACTCTGATTCTGTAAGCTAAATCGAAGTAAGCCAGTGTCAGAAACCCACCATACTGGTACTAAAGGGGATGGAGATGCCTGGGAGCAGGAGTGGCAGGAAGCAGAGCAGAGCAGCAGACAGCAGAGCACTGTCAAATGACTGTCATCATTTGAGCCACCTCTCTGAGCCTCATCACTCATTTGCAGTCTCTCACTTCTAAATTTCACTGTTGAATCACTCCCGGCTTCGAAAGCAGCTAAGAAGTATTGAAAATGTTGCTGCTTGTCCACGTGAATGAAAGATTGCTTAACTTCCAAATTAGACAGAACCCTGTCAGCTAGATATTTTACAGTGAGATTTTCCTGAAGACACTGCAGCTCACTGATGTACTTCTGTGCAGACAACCTGGCTCAGTCAAAGTTTTAGATGCTCACAACTTTTAAGAATTATATTGACAGAGATATTCAAGCATGAATTTATCTGTGGAGAGCAATCTAACGAAAATCCCCAGGTGCTGAAAATAAAGTGGTTTACACGTGGACACAGAGGGTATATACACAGAATTAGCCCTTTATCAGTTAATCGTTTACATCTGGCAGCCTACTATGAAAATGCACGCAAAACTTACCACACTGTAAGCTGCACCTTGAAGTGAAAGGGGAGTGGGACAAAACCCTGAATGTCTTAGAAGCTCAAAACATGCACTGCTGACCGCAAAAACCATAAATTACAGCTTGATTTGTGTTCAGTAGATGGCAGCAGATTCAAAAGAATTGCTGAAAAGCTGTAACTCAGATGAACTGTCAGTGAAATCAAGACCTAAAAACATTCTTATGCAGCAAAATAAAAGTGTGAAAACAACACAAATTTAGCTAGCCTGGGAAAGGACAACAGTGGGGGGAAAATGTCAGCACAGGCTTCAGCTTCACCTGGCGAGTCGTAATTTGCCTGCACTTTCAGGCTCATGTTCCTGCTGATATGTCTGCCATTCCCTAGGCTCACTTGATTAAAGTTAGCAAGTCTATGCCTCCCTGTGCCACCTCCAAGTATTTGTTCTCTGTGTCAACAGTGCCTATGGGAGTATTTTAGAATAGACTGTACTCTTTTGAAGCCTTTCTTATTCTCCCTCACTTTCACTTGAATATTTTCTCTGAAACACAAAGGCTGTAAAAGTGAGGTAAGCAAAATATATTTAGCTAGCAATCAGTGTTATTCTAACAAATCACTAGATGACCACTGTACCTTATCTTCTCCTGAGAGTTGTCTCAGTTGGGCTCAGGCATGCAGCATGCTTAGAACTCATAATCTAAAAAATAAAGGGCCTGGGGAAAAATACCATAAATGCAAAGCATCACCCTTTCCATTGATAGAAGTTGTTGTTTTTCCAGGGATTCAGATCTTTCTCCTTCACAGTACACAGGTCCTGAAGGTTTGTCACACTGTCACAGAATCAATGGGTCACAGAATGGCTGAGCCTGAAAGGGATTTCTTGAGATCATGTTGAGATCAATGCCCTTCTATCAAGCAGAGTCATCTAAAGCAAGTTACATTGGACTGTCCATCTGGGTTTTTAAGTATCTCCGAAGATGGAGATGCTTCAGCCTCTCTGGGCAACCTGTGCCTGTTTGACCACCTTCACAGTAATAGACTGTTTTCTCATGCTCCCTTGGAATCCAGTACGTTCTAGTTTGTGCCCACTTCTTCTTGTTCAATCAGCAAGAACTACTGAGAAGAGTCTGCCTCCCTCTTCTTAGGTTCTCTCATTATGTATTTATACACACTGTAACACTCTTTTTGCAGCAGAACAGGCACAGCTCTCTCAGCCTCTCCGTGTATGAAAGATACTACAATCTCCATATCATATTTATGCCCCTCTGTCAGAGGTGCTTCAATATGTCCATGTTTCTCTTGTGCTGGGAAGCTGAGAGCAGGCCCAGCTCTCCAGATGTGTCTCATCAGTGCTGAGCAGAGGTGAGGGATCACCTCCCTCAACGTGGGGTGTTAGTGCTATTAGCTGTTGGCCTTCTTTGCCTGGAGTGCACGCTGCAGGTTCATTGTCAATTTGGCATCCACTAGTACACTCTGGATGTTCTTGGTAGAATGACTTTTTCAGCCCTTTCATCTCCAGGAACATACTGATGCATGGTGTTGTTCTTCCCCAGATGCAAAACAATTATTTGTAGACCAATTCAATTCATTGAATTTCATGAGGTTCCTCTGAGACTATTTCTCTAGCTCAGATGACAGCACAGCATGACAAAATGAAGTCTCTCTTCATAGTTCTGTATTTTCTGCAGGCTTGGTGAGGATGCACCCCATACCAGTGTTCAGATTGTTTGTGAAAATGGTAAGTATATTTAGTCCCAGTATCGACTCTTAGGGCACACTGCTGGAGACTGGCCTCCAACTGGGATTTGTGCCCTTAGTTACAATCCATGAGCTGGGTAAGAGACAGCTATACAGGGAGATACTTCTAGCAGAAGTTTGCACAGTGCAGTGTAAATGGCAAAATGATTTGCTTGGTGGTACAGCCTGTAGTCATTCTCAACCTGAAATACATGATATTGGCCAGAGGATTTGTCAGTCTGCAGAACTATCTACAATTAGGTTTTTTGTGGCATAAGGACCAAAGGTGTGAGTTTTCCACAGCACTCTGAAGTGTAAACCAGGCTTACTGTGTGAAGGGGTAATGAAGCCTGGTTGTGACGCTATTTCATGGCAGACATTCCAGGATATGTGCTCACCCAATAAAACAGACGTCTCCTACACTCAGAGCAACCAGGGAATTTTGACAAGATTGCTGATGTTACGGAAAATATTAAGCAATAATCCCTTCCATCAGCCTAATTCCCAGTTCCTCAGCTGGCTAAAAATGTTGC